CAGTAATAATATTTAGTATATTTATTGGTTAATTTAGGTTTCTAGATAATATTAGTATATATTTTATTTGGTTAATTTTAGGTTTAGACTCAATGTTTTAAACTCGAGACTTTTCAGCTTAAAATTGATATCTGGTAATTAATAATTGTAAATAAAATTTATCTAAAACTTCAGTCATGGGTTCCATTTATAAACCAAACCAACTAATTAAATTAAAAATTCTTATTTGAAAGAGCGTATTTTTCTTAGAAAGCGGCAGTACACTATATTATACATTTATCACCCGTTGATGATAAAAATAAAAATAAATAAAAATCAAGTCCAATTTTTTTAAAAAGTTTGCAAAAATTAAACTCATAAGAAAGGCAGCCGTTGTCCATCTATCTATATGTATATATTTCATTAGATTTCTCTTTTCTACAACTGCTAATCTATCGGTTCTTGACATTGTTGGTTCAATTTGCCAGGGCGAACAAGAACTTACTACTATTTATCTGTTTGGATCTCGCAATGGATTGATGGGGGCTGTTAAAGTATTACTGTGGGCGTCCCTCCAAACATATGAGGACCACACGGTTTTTGAGAAATTAAAAGGAAGAAGAAAAATGTGTTTTCGAGTGGACGCTGTTAGGATTCGGTGGACGCGTTACAGTTTCGGGTGGACGCGTTAAACCTCTCCTATAAATAGGGGAGAGGATTTTTCTTTTATCTCCGTACAACACTAAGGAAATGAAATAGAGATGAAATAGAGAGTGAGAGCAATTGTGAGAGAGCGAGAGCAATTGTGAGAGAAAAATAGAGAGATTATTCAAGAAGAAAAATTAAGATATTCTTGAAAGAGTGCTGTGAGTGTATGTAAACAATATTTGTTTTTCTCCTATAAAAGATCTGTGGCAGTCCGGAGACGTAGGCAATATTGGCCGAACTCCGTTATCAAATTGTGTGTTATTATTTTCTTTTGCTCTTTCGTAAAGGGGATTTTGCGTAATTTTTTCCCAACAACTGGTATCACCGCCGAAGGTTTCGGCAGGTCCCGCTAATCAGAGCGGTACCGGATCCGTGGATATACTCTGAAAACAAATATACCACGACGATCAGAAAATTACGACGAGTCATCAGAAAATTACAACGAGTCTATTGGTGTTGTCCGCTCAGAAAGTCGTTGCAGAATCGACTTAGTGGTGAATAGTAAAACAGTAACGCAGGTGGTGAATAGTACTATTAGAGTTACTGTTGATAAGTCCGGCACTGTTAAGCCCAAGGACTATTCACGCATTTACGTATACGGTTACTATTCACATACAGTACTATTCACGTGTACGGTTACTATTTACGTGTACAGTTACTATTCACAGCTACTATTCACGTATACTAACAATCAAGGCAGAGTTAGACTCGAGTGGGAGCAATGGCTGCAGATGAAGGAAAGTCGAAAATTGAAAAATTCGACGGTGCAGATTTTGGCTTTTGGAAAATCGGACGTGCAGAATTTTGGCTTTTGCAAAAATGCAGATAGAGGGAATTATCATGTATCAGAAAGGTCTTTTCCAACCTCTCTCCGGAACGAAGCCAGAGGCTTATGAAGGAAGAAGATTGAAAATGTAAGAATAATAAATTAAAATGTAAAAAGAAAAAAAATAAATAACACTTCAAAGTTTTAGTTTTTGTGCCATGTTCACTTTGAGGTTTATATTATATATTATATATATATATTCATATAGTTCTATATATTCCATAATAAAGCAAAAGGAATACTTGTTAATTATTTATTCTTTGAGTCTAAATCCAATTGCACCATATGTGAACCAATATATCAAGGGCATCGATTCTACCAAATGAGATAAATGATGATGAATAACTGATGCATTATAAAGATAAATAGATAGACAGTAGACATTCTAAATCTAAGCATTAAATTATGAGTTAAAAGTCAAATATGTATATTTTTTAAAAGGAACCTTAAAAAAAATACACACACAAATCATTGAGAATTAAGCTATACTCTATAGAGTCGATCAAATATATAGTAATACCCTAAATCCAAAAGAATAATTAATATTTATGTATTTACAAAAATTACAGATTATTTAACCATTTGACAAAGAAATTAAAAAAGAAAATAAACAAATCAGAAAAAATTATATTACATTATTGAACAAAAATTTCATTCGTGCGACTTTGTGCAAATAAAAAAATAAATCTGATAATATCTATATAATAATAAAAATAAAAATTAAAAAATAAAAAAAAAAAACGAAAAAGAGAAGTGACAAAAATACAAAAATTACATTTTTAAGAGAAGAGGATTTAAGAGCACATAAGCGATCCAAATATTTAAAAGCAACTGAAAATCAAATCAAAAACCTATATGTTAAACTACTTTTTACTAAGAATCGGTTTATTACTTGCCTTCCTCTTCATTATTTTTATTAATACTATATATAATTGTTGGATTGCAATGATTGTAGGAATGATCATGTAGTGAGTATTGTATTCTTTAAATCTCGGTATATCGAGATTATATAGGATTCATTTATCGCGTTCAGCAGTAATTCACGAGTTTTCATTTTTCTAATCATGGCCTTTAGTGAGGTATTGTATTTAATGCACATGACAAAAATAAAGATGGATTAATTGTGCTTCTAATTGTATATTCTGTTTTGAGTCACACGGGTGAATTTAGGGTTTAGGCAGATGATAATCATTAGAGCTTACTTACATGTTGTTCATTATAACGGTTTTGTTGCTTTAGTTTAACTTATCATCATCATTCTAATTCTTTCATTTTGGCAACAAATAGGCCGAGAAAATAATAATATTGCAAATATGCTTATTAGTTTAATTAATTATTCAAAATATTATATTTATTGAATTTAAAAAACTTCTTTTTTATTTCTTTTGTTTTCCAAAATGTTGAATTCGAATATTTTCTTTTTCTTTAAAAATTTCATCTTGATTATTATTTATTTATTTGGTCTTTTTTTTCTATGTTGTGTAGATTACATGTTATTAACACATTAAAAGTAAAACTATAAGCTTTTGCTTTATTTTTCTTTTTTTTTATTGAAAAATATAGATAATAAAATATTCTTTAATTTAATTAATTACATTTTATCTGAATTTTTCATTTTTTTATATATTCGATAAAATTAATTGTTTTAATAGATATCATATATTTAACTAAGATTTCATTAAATATTAAAAGAAATAACATTTCATAATCCACTTTCTAAATACTAATATAAATCATAGATTACCGAACAATATAAACAGTAGAGTTTTTAAAACGTTAAACGCTAAATTAAAAATGATTGTTAAAAATAACTAAAGAAAGTAAAATTTCATGATCGTCTCCCTTAAACTACATTAACGTAAACGCTACCATATTGAAGAATCTAAAATCGTAGAAATATATTGAAGAATCTAAAATCGTAGAAATAGTGTTTTTCACCTAAGTCAAAATGCTAATAATTCCTTGCCAATGGCACCAAACCTTGACCTCCAATATCAGCAAGCATCATATGCCGAAATGAAATCAGATTGTTAATCATCATATGTTTCCTTTTTGGTGTACGTATTTTCTCTGTATAGTGATAGGAAGAATTACAATTATTAACGTAATCATAGAAAGTGAAATGTTTTAATTCCAATGAATTAATATTCTTACTATTTGCATTTTATCCTAAATTTGTATAAAATTTTCCTTCTATGTTTCATATTCATATCAATTTTAATTAATAATTTTCTTATCGTATTTTCCCAATTCATTCAAACTTCTTTTATTTTATTATATTAGTAAAACTAAACAATACCATAAAAATGTTTAAGTTAATATTTTGCAATTGAATTAATAATACTAATTATTTATTTACACGAATCAATTGAGTAGTAAAAACTTTACGAGATCATTTGAACCGATGGAATGTGAATCCTATAATAATACAAAATCTATAGAATGTAGAATAGAATCAATAAATTATGAAATCAATGAAACTTCACTTTTGATGGTTCTATTGAAAAGTATAATGCATGAATTTTAAAAAGACACTTATAGAATGAAATTATTTAATTTTAAATACATTATCAATGAAAACGGAAAAATTAAAAAATCTCATCTCTAAAGTAAAATTTCTTTTATTTCTAAAGCGGTAAAATTTAGGTCATAATGAAATTTATGAATTTCATAAGTTGCGATCTATTTTTTTTTAATCAAATAAAAAATCTGACAAATTCATAGGATTTATAAATTTTTTTTTGGTAAATATTAGATTTATAAATTTTATCAATCCACATCTATATTTACATTATTACCATTCCTTGCTGTAGTAAAATTGAATTTTGATTGATAGAAGTTTTAAAAAGAAAACACTGACAAGAGGAACCAAAGTCCACAGCCAGACAGACAGCTCACTCGGAACATCCGCGCACTTCTCTGTCCCGTTAATATCGCTATCAACTATAATTAACTGTGTTTTCCATAATCAAGGAATATTTACTTACGCCACATCACCAAAATAAGATTAATTCGACTGACGTAGCAAGCGGAGGACAGCTGGTTTACCGATGATAGTTTAAAACGGCATCGCACTGGATCATTACTCTGGTTCCATGATTGCGCTTTGCTGATTAAATTTTAGCTTTAGCTTCCTTTTTACACAATCACAAGAGAAGACTATCAAAGACTAGCTAGATCTACTGAACCACTGATCGCTCTCTCTTTCGTCCAATCGATATATACAGAAGAAGTTTCAGAGAGAGAGCTGTGCTTTAATGGCCAGTGGAGGAGGATATGGTGATCCGAGCCAGAAGATTGATTATGTGTTCAAGGTTGTGTTGATAGGAGACTCAGCAGTCGGGAAATCGCAAATACTAGCTCGATTTGCCAGGAACGAGTTCAGTTTGGACTCAAAGGCTACAATCGGCGTCGAGTTTCAGACTCGAACTTTGGTTATTCAACACAAGAGCGTCAAGGCCCAGATCTGGGATACTGCTGGACAAGAACGGTATTACTCTTTCTTTTATTTTCCTTTTATAGTAATATTTACTCCAAGTGTTTGTTTGTATTGTTGTAGGTTTTGCTTGTTTAATAATTCGTTGGTTGTGTGTGGCTTTGTTTTGTATTTGATTTTTTATTTTATGCGCATCAAGATATTAAGTTTATTAAAAAAAGAATTTCCAATTTTGAAATTACGTTGTGGTTGTGGGATTATTGAATTTACTATTGCAAATGCAATTAATGTTCAGGCAAAAAGATTTTTTTCTTTCTTTGTTAATTTTAGCTGATTGGATAAGCAGATCTAATTGACGACCATATGTCAACAACACTAATCAAGTAATTTGTCCTCAGTCCTTGCCCAATTACCATTGCTATTCCTTCACCTTTGACAAAATTTCAATCTGAGATAACATGCTCTAATGAAAATTTTCTGCTTTTGCCTTCTCTTCCTCTTTCTTTTCTTTGGTTTGAGTGGGAGGGTTGCATTTTGCGAGTTCTGATTGGACTTGATTCATTTTGAAAGAAGAAATAGTTTTGACTTGCTTAATGTTATTTTTGGTATTACACGTCAGGAGCGGTTCAAGTAGGAAGACGTGTTTGAGTGCAGCAGATGACCTATCCAAGGTTAGGTATTCGATTTGCAAAAAAATACTGGGGAGAGAGTTATGAACCCGAAACAAGATTACTCTTACATATAAAATGGGTGTGGAATATTCATGGAAAAAAAAAAGAATATTGGGGGGGATCCATCGCTGAGTGGGTTCAGTAACTCCATCGACCCTATTTTAACGGTGACCCACTAATTTTGTGGTTGAAGTCTTGTCTGTGATGTGTTCATTTCACATACTTCAATGCCTTGATGATGCTCTGTTATTAAATCCATGAGAATTTAGGAGTTCCAAAGAATTTCAGCATTCTTCTGTTTGGATTTGGATTGGCACAATGCGCAATGCCACTTAATTACTATATTTTAACTGTTTGCTTTTAGTATGTCGGAGCTCTATTGTTAAACAAATATCTTTTGAGCCATTCCATGTTTTGATTTTTATTAAATACTAGTATCTTTTTCCTGCATCAGCATCACCATTGGTAGAGCTGTATATTCTCAATATTGATGACTGATTCTTTTTTCTAATCATCCATTGGGACCCACAGAATTAAATAATATGCCGACTCCAAATTATCAAGAAATGAGATGTTTAACATCATGAGAATCAAGATTTTTTCTTTATTATTGTTGGAAGAATGGATGGAGCATTCCTTGTGTCAAATTACATTCTTGTAACATGTTAATGGCAATTGATGGTTTATTATGTGTAATTGCTGGAACAGCTATAGGGCGGTCACAAGCGCATACTATAGGGGTGCTGTTGGAGCAATGTTGGTATATGATATAACAAAGCGTCAGACCTTTGATCACATACCTCGTTGGCTGGAAGAGCTGCGAAGCCATGCTGACAAGAATATAGTTATCATTTTGATTGGTAACAAATGTGATCTTGAGAGCCAGCGAGTGGTTCCTACCGAGGATGCTAAGGAATTTGCCCAGAAGGAAGGACTATTCTTCTTAGAGACTTCTGCATTGGAATCTACTAATGTTGAGAATTCCTTCTTGACTGTGTTGACGGAGATCTTTAACATTGTAAACAAGAAGACATTGACTGCTGGTGAAAACCAAACAAACGGAAACCCTGCATTGTTGTCGGGCAAGAAAATTGTCATTCCAGGGCCCGGACAAGAAATTCCCGCAAAAAGCAAGTGTTGTAGCTCATTATAATTTGTTCAGACATGGATTTCAAAATATGTGGTTTTCTGTTCTATGCTCCTAATAGCAATTTTGAAAGTTGTGATGTGTTTTGTTATAAATTTTTCATTGCATCAGTTTAGTTTGCATGTTTTAAGTGGAGATGAGTTTCAGGTTATGATTCTACTTGGATATTCTCAAATATGAATTTCTCAATCTAATTTGATGACTGTTTATGACCCTTTAAATGGTTACAATGCGAATTACCCATGTGTAGCAACTCTCTCTCTCTCTCTCTCTATGAGGCGAAAGGGAAAAGATGGTCTCATATTATATATATAAGAAAGAATTAGTCCTGTCTCTAATCTTCATTCATATCTATTTATTAATATAAATATATACATATTGTGGTAGTTTTTCTTCTTTACTTGGCTTTTCAGGCTTGAATATTAGCTCGATTTTTGTTTCCTTTGTGAGTGCACTATAAGCACGTCAGATGAACATGGACAGTGACAGCCCAAGATTTCATTTTTGCAACGAGACTTTTCATACGTTGCACTGATATTAAAAGCAAAATAAAATGATTGTGTCGACCGAGTCCAACGCTACAAGGGAACTGCCATTCAGTAATTCAAACATTGTCATTTTCACTCAAATGTAATTCAGCTGCAAAAGTTTCAACCTTGCCAAATTTTAAATTTGCCTACAAGAGCAAAAACTTATGGTCATTTCCATATACAGGAAACCACCAAGAATATTGTAAAATTTTAACCCAAGGAAGTCAAAGGAAAGGAATGTTCTGATGTATCAATTGTAACAATGCCAATGCCTATCGCCTAATGCAAGAAAATTAGTATACAAACTCAAATTTTATAACAATATCAGACATCTATTGCTTTTTTAGTAGGTTCAGATTCCTCGACTTTTTCATTACCATTAGCAGCCTGCACTTCATTACCATTGACAATGTTTTCTTGCATCAAGGAGCCTTTTCCAGTCTCCATCCGCGCTGAAAGCCTTTCTAACAGTTCTTGACAGTCAATTGCAGTGACCATTACACTCAAACTGGCCCTACCCTTCCAGCAGCCAATGGCTATTGTAGAAGCATCTACCTGCCCAGGATCTGACAAATTTTTGCCATCTGTGAAAAAATAATAATGTTAATCACATGTTTACACACTTAATTATACATTTTACATTGTGATGTTACAGACCTCTCAAGACTATCACACAGCAACCCATCATTAGCTTTGAGGCCTTCTCTCCGAACTCAGAATCAACAAAGTCCATGAATTTGATAGCTTTATACTGCAAAAGATGCTTGAAGTCTACTGGAGAAGCCCATAAGATCTGTTTGCTGATGTGAGGAAGAATAACTGGCAATCCTTCAGATGATATCCGAAAGGAGCATGGAGCAGTCGTACCTTCTCTTGATGATTGTCTCTCCTTTAGAAGAAAAAAATGATGAAATAAGTTATTAATTCATCAATCAAACAATTCTTGAAGTATATCAGGCTAGCAGGTCTCTTTATGAAGGATGTTTAGAGAAAATAAGGTTTGGTAGGTTAGCAATTTTCATCATGCCCTTGGATTTGTAGACGATTTTTTTGAGTTTGTCAATCTACTTGGGAGAGCACCAACAAGCAAAGGAGGAGGACGAAGAAAGTAGGTAAGAGACTACAAGCATGACTATTGTGAGGAATATATACAAAACAAAATAAAATGACAAAACCAGCATAAAAGTTTACTTACAAACATTTTCAGGCCGACTGAAGATATCTTAAGCTGCTGGCCAACAAGGAGATTCAGCTCAATTACATCCTTGACTGACTTTGAAACATAGTAAATTCTCTTCACATGGTTATTATCATTATTTCTTGAGATTAGGTGACCCTCAAATGGAAATGACTCATCAATACCATAAAATTCCTTTATGCAATTGATAATGGCTTCATCTTTGAAGAAAATAACAGGGTCAACCCCTTTCCATTTTCCTTGAATTTGCAATTTTCTCTTCCCTACTGCCCTCCCAGATTGAGTCTCTCCATTAACTGACGTTTGAGCTTCCTCTGAACCATTCTCATCACATGTATTACAAGCATCAGGTTCTAAATCAGCCTTGTCCACCTCATTCTCAATTAAATCAGCCTCTGAAGCTGCTTCAGAAAACTTTTCTGATGCAATGTCTTCTGATTTTAGCTCTGGCCCATTATTATCTTCACTAACCTGATCTGATAACTTTTGTTGCAGCTCGTTATTTTTAGTTAACAAACTTCCTCGCCGACGTGGTTTCTCCTGAATGACTGCAAGAAAAAGATAATTAGATACCATATAATCATATGTCAAACAAAGGAAAAGCACATGCAAGCACAAGGGAGAGAGTAAATGAAAGAGGTGAAATAGTGGTTCTTCTCACAACAGACACATCATAATCTATATGAGGCAGCAAGAAAGCATTCTACAAATGCAAAGTGAAATATAAGCAAGGTTGAGCACTATCCAGTTGAAAGAAAAAAAAAAAAGCCAACCAAATTGATTTCAGCTTGTTCAGTTACTTCACTTTGGTTTTAAATATTTCCCCTAAAAAATCCAGGTATTTCGGTTTGCTTAATTTTGAACTGGACCATGTTCCCACTGCCACACACCCCCAAAAAATTTGAGTAGAAGGTTGCCATCCCCACAAACAGCAATGCATCCAAACTAGAATTTCCAAATTTCGTAGGGCTCTAATTGTCTTTCAGGGAAAAAAATTGCAGCCCATATTTTTGGTTGAATAGTGTCTTTTTGGGTATTATTGAGAAAAGAAAATCACTTCCAATTATAAATTAGGGATTATTTGAGAGGGTCTCAAGGCCTGAGGCCCCCTAAATTGAAAATTAAAAATTTATTTTCTTATACTTGGAATATACTTTAGTTATTAAAACTAAAGTTAAGCCCTCTTAAAAAAAGTGATTTTAGATACATTGACAACAGGAACTGATTAAAGTTAAAGGTTTCTTATTTTAACACAATTTAACTTTGAGAATTGCTTTTCCAATTAATCAAATTTCAAAACAATAGAATTAGAAATTTCAATTTAATGCTTCTCCCATTTGATAAATTAACAACAATAAAAACTAGTATTGGTTCATCATCTCCTTTGCAGATAAATTTTAGTTATCAAGTTTAACAATTGTGGGATTTCACTGAATTTGGTAAATTTTCTTTTAACTTCAATAATCTACTTAATTAGTGAGCTAAAGTTATTTGTTGTCTTCAGATCCTTTATTTATTTATTTTTTTTTTTTTGTTCTAAAGTCAAAATTGAGATATTAAAAAGATAGTTGATATTTAATTTTGTTTCATTATTTATTTTTAGGGTATTCATAATATTTATGTTTTTATATATCAGTTGGACCCCCCCCCCCCCCAAAGGAATTACTGGTAATATTGTGATGTTCGATAAGCCTACCGCTATCAACGAGTCTCCACTAATTCCTAGCAATACTAAGTTGCTTCAATAATAAAATTACCTGGCAAAGGTGAGAGTTTGTGGAGGACAGCAATGAAAAAGGCCCCACTATTCTGATCATGAGGCAATATCCTCATGCAACGTTCTAGAGGAAGATCAGAAACTTCCTCATCCAAGTCCTCTATTGAAGTCATAGGATCCTCCATCGGCTCATCTTCAGAATTCACATCACCACCATTCTCATGCTTATTATCTGCTGTGGCAACATAGCTTCTTCCTGAAGGAAACATGCTGGGAAGAATCCCATATCTACGAAATTTGGTGACATCTTTGTGGGAAGATAACCAGATACCTTTATCACGTACCTGTAAAACAATAATAAAGAAAAAATTATATGCAAGTATGAATCTGAAAGCAAAATGCTACCTGGGACAGAAACGCTTAAAATTCATCCCCTGATGTCAAAATTTCTTGCAGTTACTGACATTAGCTTAGAGGAGTAATATACTGGATTGACTTCCTTTTTGGAAGCTATTAGCCGCTTCAAGAATAGTTTCAATTAAGAGATCAAATATACCCCTTTCCAACTATCTGATGGGACCAAATCAATCAAATAAATATGCTAATATTAGACCTGACTAAACCTTAGTACCAAACTAGTAGAAGTTAGCTACCATAGCAAACAGATGTGATAAATGTTTTAAATGTTGATGATCACCTCTAATTACAATATGTTAACTTGAGAAAATAGAACATATTTTATACACTAGAGTATGTCATTTCTTAAATGGATATATTTTATGCCAAAAATGCATGCAGTAAAAACTTTAGCAGCTTCCAAGATGCTATAAGTTCTGAAATCTTTTACCTGCAAAATAATAATAATGCTGTTAAATTAGAGACACCAAGAGTCTAAAAGCAAGTACTTATTTGTCAAGTTGCTTTAGTTCTCATCAGGAAACATTGTGCCCATGGTACTCAAGATCTTAGGTGTCTTCTAGGAGACAAAGCCTAATATGTTTTGGTGAAAAATCCAGATGGTTGTAAGAAATACATCTTGAAATAGAAGTATTACAACAGAACAACCAGTCCAAGAAACGTTTTTAAAAGGCAAGCATCTTTGTCACATGTAACACTGTCAGTTTGACCCTTAGTTTCATCTGTTAGGTCCAAATTTATTTCATCAAATGCTCTTTTCTCTCCCTTTATTCCAACAAAAACTATTCTCCATTGAAGGGAATATAATATCCAAAGAAAACATAATTAATGTAATCATAAATTTCTTATTTAATGATTTGCATATTGCAGTTCCATCCTTAACTATTATAAAAAAAAAAAGCCATAAACCTCCATAATGAGGAAAATCTAGAGGACAGGCCCAGAAGTGGAAAACCCTTGCAATTTAGTGGTGGTAATACCATCATCAATAAACTGAGTGCTAAACTAATGTTAAACAAAGAAGAAATAAATCAAAATCCTTTAAACTGCATGCCAGAGGCATCATAGCAAGCTTCCTCTATGTTGTTTTGGTTTAGTCATCCTCTACAAGAAAGCACAGTATTCCATTGACAATATCCAGATGAACATATTCTTAGTTTTGGCATGTTTTTGAAATGAAAATAATCCTATTGTACCATATCATCACAATAAAAATAACAGTATCATTAGAAAACTTTGTTAAACCATAAACATTAATACAATTAGGATGTCAAATCTTCACCCTTTCACTAGAAAAAGCTCAGGATGATTAACAAACCTTCCATTTCCTTAGACCTGGCCGGCGAACAAGTTGAGGAAGCTCACCAGAGACGTCAACCAGTTCAACAGACCCTCCACACCTCCTTAAAATCTAAGAAAATTGGGCATGAGTACCAAGAAAAAGAAGATTTGAGAGTTAAAAAATTAACAAACAGAAAACCTCACAGGTATAGATATAATAATAATTTTCAAAGACATAATTACCTCAGCGACAACAGCCTCATCTTCTACAGGATTCATTGAGCAGGTTGAGTAAACCATTCTTCCACCAACTTTAAGCAATGATAAGCCTATAGGAATCAATATTTCCATTCTAAGTCCGGTATAGGCTTTGATTTGAAATAAATCCAGTCATATAAACTCAAGAATCCACCAATGACAAACCAAGATGGGAACAATCAGGGGAACATAACAGCAAGGCTTAAATCTAGAAACAAGCAGTCAAAATCATTTACAATTTACACCAGTCTAGCAAGGGTAGAAGTTCTAATAGTCTTAAGTATAAGTTGCATTAGAAGCATGACACACCCATTAAATAAAAGCAAAATACTGAACGATAAATGTAAGACATTCACATCTGTAACTAGCAGCACACAGCATTCGTCAGAATTATTTGATTTACAAATCAGCTTTTGTTTCGAATCTCACATCAAAAATATCATATGCACAAATTTCACATCCTTATATTTTACATTGAATTGTCTCACTTTAAGTTACCAGATAAGCACCTCGAATAGCATTGATTCCAAAATGAATAAATAAATAAAAGTTTGTTGATTTCAGAAGCATAGAGGCTAGAAGGCTCAAAAAAAGCTCTTTGGGCCACAACGACAAGTTACTTGGTCTGATTCTCTGGAGCAAAGATGACATAGCCATGAGCGAAAGAACAAGTAGCTGTGTTCTGTTAATTCAGTTTTATAGAAATTTAGGGTTTGTACAGGTAAAGCCCACATACAACCTGCTTTTTCCTATATTCTCTTTTTCTCTTATTGCGAACTTACTCCACTTCTATTTTCTCGAAAACATGGCTGCTGCTACGCTACCCTAGAGCAGCAGCAAAATAAGTTTTAAAATTTTGAAATATGCAACTGAGACATACTGCTAAGTACTAACAAATTACCAACCAAGAAAAGACAAAGGATATATCTTTAGAATTGTAGGGAAATTAAGAAATCATAATTGAGGACTTTCTTATCAAGCTACCTCGCATTGCTATCTGCACTTGTAGGCTATGGAGTCCATTGCCCATCCCTGAATTCCTGCATAGAAGGAAACACAAAACTCTTCTATTCTGAAGGAAATGTAAACTAGATGTGGACATTCAAAAGAAAGTTATTCTAACCATTTCCTCCACAGATCAGGAGCCTTGCGAAGGGTGCCATCTCCGCTGCAGGGAACATCACACAGGACACGATCAAAAAGAAGTTGATTGATGGGGGGCTCAAATTCAATTTCAGAAGCTTTAGTGGAATTCTTGTTTGCACGACAGCCAGGGAATTGTTGGGCTTCATTATTTGTGACTATTAAGTTAGCGGTGCACATTCTTTTTGTTTGGTGTATGAGAAGATTACATCTTTGGACATCAAGGTCATTTGCTATAATCTACACAAGCAAACAAAAGAATATAATGAATTAATTTCACAAAAAAGCAGAGTGAGGAATGCAACTGCAGAGAAGTTAGGGGTGGCCAAGATTCAGTTCGGAATCAGAAGCAGTTTGTGGAACCACCGGATTCCAGAACCAGTTCAAACCAGGTTTCCTGCTCCAATTCCCCAACTTGAGGAATAGAATCGCACTTCCAGATTGTTTTGGAACCTTGGCCACCCTTAAGAGAAGTTATTCAGACAATTGGAAGTTTCCAAATACCAATACTTTACGAAGCATAACAGAACCATGGATAAACATATATTTGAATACATCACTTGGAGATTCTAAAGTAACTTGATGTTCACAAGAAGCATTCCACATTTGTCCTCTGATGTATTGCAAATTAATCACTGTGAATGCTCACAATGGATGAATCATGGAAAACTCATCTTGTGGTGAAAAAAAAAGTGCAAACAAGTTACTTAGAGGGAACCATATGATTTAAAGATAGGAACAGGAAATTTAAAAAAAAAAAAAAAAAAAAAAAAAAAAAAAAAAAAATTATCTTCGAAGAACGCTCAGTTACTGTGGAAGACGATCTCACCCGCGGATGTTCCTTACCAGGGTCAAAACCAGCTCTCCGTTTCGTCGCGGGTTCCAATTCTCCCCAACTAGCTTTGGGAATCAGAATCGCTTTTTACCTCTTCCAGATTGTTTTGGAACCTTCGCGCCCCTATAAGGAAGTTTATTCAGACAAATTGGAAGATATCCAAAAGTACCTATACTTTCTATACGAAGCATTAACAGTAACCATGCGATTTCAAACAGTATAATATATGAGCATATATCTATTCTCTCTTGGAATAGATTCTACATTTAGCTATTACTTGATTGTTTCTTACAAGGTAATTCAATACTCTCCACATTTGATCCTCTGAATTTGTATTAGCCAATTAAATCACTGTTGAATGTCTCAGCAATCTTCGTATTCTCATTATTTCGTACATGAACTTTCATTAGCGAAATACTTCATCTATGTGAGTGAAAAAATAAAGTGCAAAAACAATATACTGTAGAGGGCGAAACATCTCTCGATCATATAAAGATTTATAGGGAACAGGATATTTAAAAAAATAAAGAAAAAAAATTATAAAAAAAAAAAATACAAACAAACCATCCCATCAGGCCATTATCCTATGTCGTTTATTGATTTGGTTTGTAATATATCTGTCCAAAGCAGCTGGCAAATGCTCTTCATTGAACCGTGCGTGCAGCATCACCACTGGTTAGAAAGCACTCAACTGCAGCATTTCAGTTTGAGGGAATTATGTAGTCGCGACGTGTAGTGAGGGAAAATAACAAACTAAAGAAATTTCAACTGCACCATTAAGCTGGTTACCTATCAAGCGATCAAAGATGGTTGACGCACATTCAAAAAAAAAAAAAAAAAAAAAAAAAAAAAAAAAAAACAAACCATCCCATCAGGCAGTGATCCTTGTTTTATTGATTGGTATATAATCTCCAGCAGCTGGAATGTTTTTGAACCTGGTGCAGCACACACTGGAAAAAGCACCATGCACATGTTAGGAATGTGTCCGAGGAGGAAAAAAGAAAAAGAATCATGCACCATAAGTTGCTTACTATCAAGCACAAAATGGTCTGGACGCACATCCAGGAAGAGAGGAGGCACCTACATGGCACAAACATTTAGCAAAAATGAATACAAATCGGGTAAAGGTATAAAACTTAAAAAAGAATCAAGATGCTCATGCTCTGAAGAAAGAGCAGCATGATATCAATAATAAACCCCAAAATACGAATTGCCCACCATGCTGACAGCCTCTTGTCTAGTGATGTTTCCAATTTCATTCTCTAGCTTTAGGAACTCATGAAACCTATACATTCGATGAGAAGTATTAATTGGGTGATAACTGGAGAAAACAATTACATTATAACAACACAACTAAGCCTTAGTTCCCAACTCGTTTGGGTCGGCTATATGAAAGTTGTTGATTCAATTGGTGGCAGCCATGACATATTATATACATACTTTAGTATTAGTACAAATCTGGAAACCAACAAAATATTTATGAATGAGGGTAGCTACTAGCTATGAATTCATGGTCCCTGTAAGTCATTATGGTATAAAGATGTAAAATTCAAAACAATTTTCATGTAAAACAGCTCTTAGAAAACATTGGAAACACAGCTCCAGAAAGGGACTAAAGAGAAAGTCTCATAGTAATGACAAATATGGAGAAGAAAAGCAAGGAACTGAATATATGATACATTTCATGTCATATTATCAACAAAAACCATGTACTCAACGTAATGAAAAAGTCTAAAAACTTGTAAATATGCTACTTCTGATTGGGCATGTTACTCTTCACGCTATGACAATTCAGCCAAGTCAAAATATACAAAATTCTAATAAGCTGCCCTCAGAATTGGCAGGTTACTCCTTACAGTGAAATTTGTGATTCTAAATGACAGTAACAGAGCATGTATCATGTATTATCCATTGTCCAAGACATCAAACCCACCTGAGCCAATTATATCTAATCTTGCCCCAAAGCCTGTCCTTGGAATTATGCATCTGAACCATGTTAGAGATAAAATAATTTAACACACCACAAGCTAATAATACCCCCATTATGTAAGACATGAAAAAGTTTCCAGTTATGCACAACCCTCAAATTTCAAAAATTGATTCAAAACTTAAGCATATATAATACTTCATTAATCAGTATTATCTGGCACTGGATATGATCTCATAAGGATTAATACCATCTAACAGGTTCTAATCTTTCTTCTGCAACAAATGCGTTGGAAATTTAGAAAACCTAAGGCATGGCTCTATATATTTATTTGAAAAAACTAGAAACCAGAAAATTTGCATAGTGCTGTTGGCAATAAGTAGTACATTGTTTTGCATCTAAGGCGTGTGAGCACTTTGCATGCACTGAGAAAAATGAGCAGAAACAGATTCCACATCATCTAACTCTTCTCTGATCCCTTCACTTCACCTCAAAAGGAATTTTATGTTGTTATTGAGAATAAATAATCAAATGTTCCCATAATTGAAGAAAATCTATCTGACTTCTCCATATGGTGTGCATTAATATCCATATATTGCCATATAAATCAAAAGATGGGAAAGAGCACACAGGAAAGCAAGTCTCAGGTTCACAAGATATGTACTTTAGTTAAACATTAAAAAAAAAAAAAAAAAAAAAAAAAAAATCTCCATATGGTGTGCAATTAATTATCCATATATTTGCCATATAATCAATAAGATGGGGAAAGACGACCACACAGGAAAGCAAAGTCTCCAGGTCTCACACGATATTGTACTTTACGTTAAACACTCTACAATACAAAAAAAAAAAAAAAAAAAAAAAAACATGTTATTGCCAGACAAAATCTGCAAACACAAACATAATTTCACAATATATGTTTACCATGATGTACGCTCTTCACAGGTTTCGGTTCCTAAAAAAAAAAAAAAAAAAAAAAAAAAAAATGTTTTCCAGACAAATGCAACAAAACAATAATTCACAATTATGTTTACATGATGTACCTCTCAAGGGTTTGGTTCTTCCTTAGCTGCATACGGGAAAAATTTGTATGCCATGCAAGATTATCAGGATACCAGGGCAATGGTCTGATAGCATCAACTTCTCCACCATTAGTGACCTGAAAGTGACAAAGAAGAGTGAGAGACAGCCAAGAACCAACAATTGGCAACAAAACTATCTACAGCAAAATAAATCATATCAATTTACCTCAGCTTGAAGAGAGTTCATAAAGTCATTCTCTAACTGCAGTCTAATATCTGTACAAAACTGGCTACTGCAAAATAGAGAGAAGGGAAATTTAAGAGTTGCGACAAAAAAGCTTATCATTAACTAAAACACTTTAAATAAATCAAGGAATTGCTAATTTTCCTTGTGCTGTTCAATTCAGAGGATCCATTATTTTATTTAAGCTTCATCATTTTTTGGAAGTTGCAGATCATCGTGGCTGTGAATTAGACTTTAAACATAAATCCCAAAATAAATCATTCATATGGTAGTTTCTTACTCACATTAGAAGCTTCTAGCTTCTGAATTCAATTGAACATATGATAAAGGACCCTAGTGTACTTGTGTTGGAAGGGGGGACAGGAAGGGCAGCCTCATCCATTCATCAGATAACATTCAAAATCATATAAACAATTATATCCCACTCATCTCTTTCTTTAAATCATGTTAAAGCAATTCTGCTCTTTCTACGCTGGATTCTACAAATTCAAGCCTTTCTCACCATACAAGTACGACAATCTCTACATTGAATTTTTGTACTCCATGATATATTTTCACTGATTTTCAAATAGGAAATCTATTTCTTGCAACAATAAGTTCACAACCCCAGAGTTTGACCTGCTTCTGACCCAAGATTCCAGTTTGAGGCTGAAGAGCCAAGGACTAATCTCCTGAACTAATCATGTTATACACACTCAACATTATATCTGAAAACTTTGCTGCTTATTGTTGCTAGAGTATGTTAGTTGACAATTTCAAGACCAACTTCTAAATCTAACCAAATCCAACAGATTAAATCTGTATGCCGCTACCAAATCAATATTTAGTTTGAATTTGAAATATCTTGAGTAACTTTTGCATTGGTCATATAGTACAAGTATAATCTATTTTTCTTGTCTAACAGGGAATATGTTTTGAGGTTATGTCTTCATAGCATGACATCTAGCAAGGATGGAACAGAAAGTAATAGCTAGGCCATGGCCCATAGCAAATCAAGCACGGAACTCAATTTAAAGTGCATCTGTTGCCAAAAGTTTCTACAAAATAACATATGTTAACATATAATTCAGAAAGCCAGCTCAAGGGACTGTAATTTAGTAAAGAATTCCTGCATAATTCCTCTAACTAACACTTACATAGGGAGTTCACTATTACAAGTTTATAACCATTTCGTTTTCTGTTTCATTTCAATCAATTTTGGAATTCTAATCACGATAGAGCAGAGGAAAGCACGGCATACCTCGAATTGATTCTGAAAGCAGCAGGCAACGGCGTTCGAAGAACTTCTACGAAGGTTTCCCATTCCTCCGGCGCCAATATCCCTTGTTCCTATAACAAAAAATAGCAAAAAATTTGCACTCATCATTTCTTAAACAAAGATACAACAAACACTTCCTATGATAGAAATAAGAGAAACATGTATACAAAGATAAATAAGTACTTTGTAGTAATCATCGAAAGCGGCATTTTGATTAGCGAAGGGCTGCCAAGTAGGATTATCGGCTGTGGTGGTGTTGGTGGTGGTCTTGTTGGGATCGGAAGGTGAGTCAGATTTGGGGCGTTTCCAGACGTTCTCTCGCCCATCTCTGAAGTGTTTTCTTTGAGTTCGTGACCTGTTTCCTCTTCCTCTGCCGCCGCCCATTATGGTTGCTGTGCAGTAAACTCGCCGCTGCTCTGTGCTTTGCTCGGCCTTATTGCTTGGTAAGGCCAACTGAAAGCTGCGATGTAGTCGGGTTCGTGCAACGTGCTCTTTTTGTGTCACCTGCTAGGTTTTTGCGGCATTTTCTTTTCCTTTTTTTTCTTTTGATTCTTTTTTTTTTTTTTTTTTGAAAATTTTGATTTTTTTAATTTATAATTTTATATAGTATACATCATAAAAGGACTAATATCAAATTCAACGTGGAATCCTAAATTTTGAACTTAATTACTAATCATAATATTAAAATAAAAAAGGATAAATATTTTTAGCTCTAACTTCTATACTATGTAGATTTATTATTATCATTATGTAGGAAGCTAAAATATCAATTGTAATAGCTAAAATATTAACAATAAACAATAAATATTAGTCATTTATATAACTAATAAAATTAAAAATTGTTTAATAATAATTTTTTGTTTTATTTATTAGCCAATCGAAATAGTAGACAATTTGTTGTTATGAAATCTAACTATATTATTTTTTGTTCATCTCAATATTCTTCCACTTGTACTTTTATATATATATATTATTTAAATACATTTTTCAAGAAGCAAAAAAAAAGAAAAAGAAAAAGAAAAAACAAATATAAACTTATCAAATTCTAAACTTAAACCACTCTAACTTAATAATAATAATATTAATAATAATAATAATAACAATACCCAATATTATGACTTTTTTGGAGGATCTACGATGATCCCAAATTCGAACAAAAATAATAGTAAAACATTATAAGTATGTTGCACGAATCAGATTTCAACAATTCTAATCTATTCACAATATAAAGGAAATAAAAAAAAATTATAACAAATAATCAATATCTTAAACTTTATAAATTATGTTGCTTAAAATTAATTGGATATTTCTCTTATAAATTAAAATGCAAAATGAAAGGTGCAATTGTTGATCTTCTAAACAAAAATAAAAAGTGAAATTGTTGATAGCATAAACTAGTTGTTTTAGTAGTTGTTAGTTATTACATTAACTGTTAGCCGTGCTATTAGTAGTTAGTTATTAGCTATTAGATTTTGGGTCTATTCGACAAAATTAGTTAGTTTTTTTAGTGATTGTTAATTATTTTAATAGAGTTTAGTTGATTGAGTTAATATTTTATAAAACACTGCTTAACATTTAAAAGTTAGTTTAAATGCTATATTAACAAACACTATAAAAAATAACATTTAGCATTTTGATAAAATATTTAAAAAGTTGTTACCGACCACAACCTTTAGCTGGTAGCTATTTGTATAGTGGTTTAAATTGGAAGTGTTTAGTAAAAAATAATTATTTAACTTAAAAGTGACAAAAATGGACATTAGTTTTTTGAGAGAAAAAACAATGGGGATGTTTAGAAAAATAATTTAATTAATCCATATGAAACGCTAAACATTACCATTTCATAAAAAGCTCTCTCACTCTTTAAAAGCTGTTATAAAAGCTATATTAACAAATAATACAATTAATAGAAATAGAATTTGACTTGGTTAAAATGCTAAAAGTTAGTTTAAAAAGGCGGGTGGATCGCCATAGAATTTTGTATTTAGTATTCACCTTTTTTTAAAAAAAAAAAGGCCATTTAGCGACGGTGTTAAAAATTTTGTCGCTAAATATAAAATAGCGACTGACTAGCGACAAACTAAATCTGTCGCACTAAGCCTTATCTCTAAAAATTCGACGATCTATGATTAATTTTATCACTAATTAGTGACACTTGAATCCATCGCTAAAGAATATAAATTGGTTGTTACCCTAATTTTAAAAGACCTGAAAATCAGTCATTAGTAAGTTGTTGATTCCGCTATCGTAAATCGGTTGCTAAACTGTTGCAGAATCGATCACAAATTCGTCATTCAATCTGTCTCTAATTTTGTTTTCAAATATTATAGTCTATCACTAAGGCTTATAATAAAAGAAATAAAAACAAAAATTTTGAAAAAACAAAAGCTTTTCACCTGTTAAAAGGTATATGTATATTACTAATTAAAATCATTCACACAAATTATTGCTACCATTGAATAAAATACTAAAATACCATTAAGATACACAGAATGCGAGCATACAAAATATTTTACAAGTTAGAAAAAAATGTACAAAATAAACATAAAATGTATGAGAGAAGGCTAATGTCACGATTAGTGGCACTTAGCATATCAAACAACTTTTGCACCGCTGTGTTTGATGACTCCTCCATATTCTCCTGATGAAAATTAGGATTAGCGATATCTATGACCATATATTGACGCAATATTAGATCTAACTACAAATCTATGCGCTGGACTGTCAATCCAAATTATTATCAATCCAGGTTTCACCATGATATACCATCGATAATAATTTTCCATATATCTATTTTTGTATAAATGAAGCTTAATTATTTCAACATCATAAAAAGCTATATTGTAATTTTTAAGTTTGCATGGATACCTTATGTCCCTTCTATCCATACAACGTGGATTACTAATTGTAAACTAAATAAAGGATTCTAGACCCTCCACGAATTCTTTTCTTAATAATCCATTTAACTCGTACCTTTAGTACATCCACATCCGATCAGTAGACATTTGTTATTGTTCAATTATTAGTAGCTAGATTTTTATTTTAAAATAATGGTGTATTTTGAATTTAACTATTACTCCTAAAATTTAAATGAGAACCTAACACATTTAGAATTCTCTTATAAGTATATGGCACAAACCAACACCATTACAATAAGCATCTAATGAAATTTCAACACTATCTCCCCCAGTTCTCCAGTGTATAATACAATATATTTATATCACACTGTGCACGCAGAGAACATAATAAGGTGATACAATTGAAATAAGCCAAAAAATGCTTAAGTAATTATTATATACGTTCGTGCATTTTATACTAAAAGACATTCCTAAACTATCTAACTTGGACAATTCAATATTTTCTTTTCCATCCGGATTGAGAAAAACATCAAATGTGCAATTAACGTTGACTTTGCATGTTGATCTTAATTAGATTGATTATTATCGGTATAATTTAAGATTCAGTTTATTAAATTTAATGTAAATTTCAAATTTAAAAATTATTGTTATTGGGTTGAATTAGTTTGGATTAAAATAATTAAGGATTAAGAGTAAAATAAGAGTTTTAATAAACTTAAGCAAGTTATAATTACTGCCATATAAATAAATTGTGAATTTTGATATATATGGATTTATGGAATGAGTTTTGGATAAATTAAGTGAAACATATAAAGTAGGTACTTGACCTTGTATTTAAGAAAAAAGAGAATTAGAGACATATTCAAATTATGTTGAACTTTAATTTTAAATATATTCATTTCTTAAAGAGGAATCCATTCCTTGATTTAATTTGAGCTAGTTAAGGAAATGAATGAAAGATTTTATTTGTTTACTGACTAGTTAAGGAAATGAATTAGATGGAGATTAGTCAGAAATATAGGAGGATTTATTGAGATTAGATTAAAGGTTATTTATCTATAAGCTATGAGTTAAACGTGAAATTATTACTTGTAATGATCGAATTCATTGATTGTCTAATAGATGGGCTATGTAAGCAATAATTGATAAGTATAGTAAGTTAATAGTATTTGGACAAGTGAAAAGTCCTATTTGAGGGGAAATACTATCAGAAATGTCAATAAGATTTAAATTAATTATGTAATTTTTTTAAAAGAAAATCATATGTTTAATGCGGTCTTTCCTTTCTATTTCTGTTTTATCTAGATCGTCGAGTTTGTTTACCACTCATGTTAGTCAAAATCCAAATGAAGGCTTGCTCCTTTTATCACTCTGAGTAATAATAAATGGTGTATACTATCATTTGCATATATGCATCGACCCTTTCGCATCTTATAAATAAATAAATATATACACAAAACCGATACCCAACCTTCACTATTATAAAAATAACATTATTTACATTATGATTTATCATATAAACTATAATATTATAAGCATACAAGAGTTATCTATTTATATGCATTCCATAATTATACTCGTATGTGCATAATGATCTTCTACGTGATTTTCTATATTATATGAGTTGATTGACTTACTTGAGATGTGACTATACTGTGCTTTACTTGCAGGTGAAATTGGGATGAAGTGAGTCACCATGGGATTGTGATGACAGTTCGGGACCGTTGGCCATGTATGGGAGATTGGCGCCCTATGTGTGCATCTAATGAATATGATATGAATGATTTGGTAAAATAACAAGGTGGTCTCCTGTTGGAAATGGAAAAGAAAGAGATAATGGAAAAACAATGTAAAGACTGGTCAAGTGAGAAATAGACCAGTTGGCCAGGTGAGAAATAGACCAGTTGGCCAGGTATGGGGATCGGCTCCCTAGTACACACATATGAGAGGACAGGCCATATGTGATGACGACTTGTTGGGGCTTTTGTGACGCCACTGACCAATTGTTGGGGGTTTTGTGACGCCACCGATCAATCTCCATTTAATGTGATTACTTGAAGGTGATATTATTTATGGATGCTGATGTTGTGACATGCAGTTGACTGAACGAGTGTTCATCATAATAAATATGGAAAGCATCCTGTGTGATCGTTTGAGTTATGCATTGTTTATTATTATTTACTGAGTTTGTGAAACTCACTCTCCCTTCCATAAATCTTTTCCCAGGAAGTAGACACTGTGCTAGTTCAGATAAGCTCTGTTTCTTTCTCTGCAAAGTTATAACAGTAATTTCCAGTTCGTGATGAATGTACAACATTATGTATAAAAATGTATCCATCTTTATACTGAGATCTGCAGTTAGGGAGTCATGTATTATAAATTATCATATAAAGGTTATTGGTGTATTATTTAATAATACCTGTGATTTTCTAATTGACTTTCTAAAAGTACGATTGACTCAATTTGCCTATATTATGAACGACGTGAATGGTATGTGAAATACAGGTTCGGACTATGAATTATTTAAAGAAAATGAAAGCTGGGCCAAAGGTATGATTTGATAGTATGATATAATATCGTCGTATTATGGGCTTATTATTCCTGCAATCAACTTTAAAAAAGTGGATTAATATGAGTTAGGCTTACTACGAGCCTCGGAAACCTTAAACTTACCTGGCCCGTGTGCCGGGCCAGCCCACGGTTTTGGATCGTGACAAGTTATTAAGTACAAATTGATTTTTCTATATTTGATTGCAATATTTATCTATTACCTTATAAAAATTTAATACTACCTTTAATTAATATGTTGATTTCTATATTTGGTTGCAACATTTCTCAATTACTTATATGAGAAAATTTTAATACCCTTTTAATGAGGTTACAAATCAAAAGAGTACGAGGGTAAAGTCAAATATGAACATAAAGAATCTACAAGATATTGATATATAAACGGATAAAAGATAAAATGGAATAAAATGTATGAAATAGGAAAATACTTACTAATGCTTAGTTGGTTTTACTTAAATATCATCATTAAATTTATTTAGTGTATATAAGTGTTTTTTATTGATATAACTCGGATAAGAGGTCATGTATAAAATCTTAATTAGTTATATTTTTACTATATTAAAGGAGATACATGTTTGACGGCATTAAAAAAAATTAAATGTTTTCAACAAATACCTTTTGTTTATTTTTTTTTTTCTTAACGTCAAAAAACAAGAAATAAAGAAACCGTTACCTTAATTTCTTTTTAAAGCAAATAAGATCATATATAACTCCTATAAAAGGACAACAATATCATAAGCCATGAACTACATTCAAGGCAAAACAAATTAGAATGAGGTTTCTCATTATATTTTGTTTCCTCTCCCTCTTCCTTTCAACCTTCCCTTCCTTCATATCTCCTCATTTATTATTTCAGGTATACATGCAAGCGTATCTCTTACACATATAGACACATAATGTATATGCAGGTTTGTGCACAAAATATGAATTTCAATTGTTCTTAAGATATTGATGGTGTGTATGATATTAATAGGGCTTCAATTGGGAGTCCAGTAACCAAGCAGGAGGATGGTACAACTTACTCGAGAACTTAATTTCTGATCTTGCTAATGCTGGAATTACTCATGTTTGGCTTCCTCCTCCTTCCCAGTCAGTTTCATCCCAAGGTGTATACATTTTAACTAAGTTTTTTTTGAAAAAAAATTTTCCTTTCTACGTAAAATTAACTAGCAAACAATCATGATTAAGAGTTGTTTACTTCCTCATGTAAATGTTTTGTCATCAGGATATTTGCCAGGCAAATTGTACGATCTCGATGCATCGAAATACGGATCCCAGGATGAATTGAAATCACTAATAGAAGCACTCCATCAGAAAGGAATAAAATCCATAGCTGATATTGTAATAAACCATAGAACTGCAGAGAAACAAGATAGTAGAGGAATATATTGCATTTTTGAAGGTGGAACTTCTGATTCTAGACTTGACTGGGTCCATCCTCTATTTGCAGAGATGATACAGAATATTCTGATGGACAAGGAAATCCTGACACTGGAGAAGGCTATGGACCTGCTCCTGATATTGACCATGTGAACACAACAGTTCAGACAGAGTTATCAAATTGGTTAAATTGGTTAAAATCTGACATTGGTTTTGACGGATGGCGATTCGATTTTGTTAAAGGATATGCTCCTAGATTTACAAAGCTTTATATGGAAAACACTTCTCCAGATTTTGCAGTTGGTGAAAAATGGGATTCTCTTGCTTATGGTCAGGATGGAAAACCTAACCCTAATCAAGACTCACACAGAGAAGCACTAAAAGATTGGGTTGAAAATGCTGGCGGAGTAGTTACAGCATTTGATTTTACAACAAAAGGGATTCTCCAAGTGGCTGTGGAAGGAGAACTGTGGAGATTGAAAGACTCAAATGGAAAACCACCAGGATTTATTGGAATTTTACCACAAAATGCAGTAACTTTTATCGATAATCATGATACTGGCTCTACACAAAAATCTTGGCCTTTCCCTTCAGATAAAGTCCTTCTTGGCTATGCTTACATTCTTACCCATCCTGGAATTCCCTCAGTAGTAAAATTTTTCTTCTCCTTCCTTTTCTAACTTGTTCATTTTTTTTAACGAGACTATTCTTGTTTTCAGGGTTAGTGGCTGCCCGTCCTTGGCTTGATTAAACTCAAATCAAAATTTGATTCCTTTGCCTTAATATTTTAATGCTGCATCAAGAAATTGCTTCAGATTTGTTGTTGTTGAGTAGATAATTTATTTATTTATTTGTTATTGCAGTTCTATGATCATTTCTTTGAGTGGGGACTGAAAGAAGAGATTATTAAATTGTCAGCAATCAGGAAGAACAATGGGATCAGTCAAACAAGCTCTGTGAATATTTTGGCCGCTGATTCTGATCTTTATGTAGCAAAAATTAATGATATTGTTATTATCAAGATTGGGACAAAGAATGATCTTGGAAACTTGATTCCCCCAGATTTTCAGGTTGCTGCCTCCGGAAATGACTATGCTGTTTGGACCAAAAAGTTAAAAAAAGAAAAAAAATAATAATACAGCCTATATTTGAAAGGGCTGTGAGAATAAACTTGTGATATTCGCAATTTAATATTTTGTAATGACAACTTTAAATTTAAATATGAGGATTCTTAATTAAATTTAAATATTAACCATTAATTATATTTGTCTTTTTATTAAATTTTATTTTAATAGTGAAATTTTTGTTATTTTTAATATTAGATACAAATATTAGTGATTATAGATAGATAATTACAGAGCAATAACCTATTAAATATAGCTTTTTTAAGACCTATTAAATTCTATTTGTTTGATTGTGGTTATGTGTATAGGTGGGCTTGTTTCATAATTTGTGGACCTAAGTTTCCAGTCTATAGCCAGTCACCATACAAAATTTGGCCTTCTTGTGCATTGAAATAGTTACACTATTTCAAATAAAACAAAAAAAAAAAAGATTTTTCTTTTTAAAATTTTTTATCAAGAATGCATCATGATTAGTTGATTACTCCCCAAATATATAATTTGAGTGGTCATTTTCACTCTAAATCTTTTAATAAACTCCATTATATTGCACAATTTTAAATTACAAAATATATTACTTTCTCTACTTTATAATCTTGATTAGTATGTTTTAATTTCTCAATTTGTTGAAATTTATAAATCCTTACACTCATCAATTGTTTTTTTAAACTAAACACATCAAATTAAACTATTGCGTCCTCAAATAAATATTATTTCAATTTATCATGCAAAAAAAAAAAATATTTAAGTACCATTAACCCATTAATGGATATTTCCTAATTAAAGAGATTACTTGTGTTAACCCATTGATTAATTAATTAATATATCATCAAATTATGGTTTGTTTCCGGAAGTACTCTAAAAAAAGAACATTTTCTTTCCTTAGCCATTTCAGGTTAAAAAGATGCCAAAGCGCCTCTTTCTATAAAAACGATGCATTCCAAAATTAATTAATTAATTAAATTGTTGCATTAAACCAGTAATTAATTAATTAATAAATATATCATCAAATTATGGTTTATTTCCGGAATTACCCTAAAAAAGAAACCTTTTCTTTTCATAGTCATTTCAAGTTAAGAAGACGTCAAGGCGTCTGTTTCTATAAAACGGTGCATTCCGAAATTAATTAATTCATTAATATACCATGAAATTAAGGAGCTGGCATATACTCTGAAACGAAGTAAGACGTTCGTCAGCATCTATAACTATAAGAATGGAGGTGGGGACCAGTACCTTGTTCCCCTAGCTTGGACATTCGGAAAGCGGAAGATATTTATTCAATATTGCATGTGGACCACTTGATGATATTAATAAACATTTCCTTTGAAATATATTTCCCCATAGATAAATGACATATATATGTTTTTCTCTCTCCTTTCTCTTCTATTCATCTAATCTTAACTTTTATTTGTAACTGCATTTGTTAATTAGCGTTAACCCCTTATTTTTCTTTTTTCTTTTTAATCCTAATTTTTTATTCACTTTTTATAAATTCTCTTTTCTCTTTTATTTATCTAATCCTAGCTTTTATTTATAGCTTTCTTTATTAATTAGCGATAGCCCATTATTTTTCTTTTTTCTTCTCGCTCCTAATTTTTTATTCGTTTTTAATAAATTCAGATCTATTTTCTTTTAATAGATCTATTTTTTCTTTGTTATTTTTGTTATCGTTGCTTTGTCTCCATATTTGAAATTCTTTTGTCCCTTCTTCTATGAGGATTTAGTCCATTCTTTGTAAATGTTTGTTCTTAAAATATATATGATATTTGATTTATTTGATTGGATAATTTAGATCTTGTTTTTATTAATATGTATCTTCGATCAATGAAATCTGATAGTGGAGCATGTTCCTCCATTAATGCTATTAACGCATAGTGACTTGAATTAATCCGTGTATGTCATACGCAATAAGTTTTTGAAAAAACAATTCAAGCATAGAAGATCCGAAAAAGTTATTTTATCGTCCAAATACCAGTTGCTACGATGAAAATTTATATTGGTCAAGGTTTTCCTTAAGCAGAAAATATCCAATATTATTTCTTTTAAATTTAGTTTTATTATTCAAAAAAAGTTATTTTATCGTTCCAAATTACAGTTGCACGATGAAAATTTATTATTGGTCAAGGTTTTTCCTTAAGCAGGAAAATATCCAATATTACTTTCTTTTAAATTTAGTTTTTATTATTCAAAAGATATTAAATAAAATTCTTTTATTGTTGAAAGATTAGCAACAACTTTCTATAATATATGAAGATTAGCAAACTTTCTATTAATTATGATAGTATGTTTTATGTCTGATTTAATTGAGTATTTATAATACTTGATTTTATTATTAATGAATTATATTTCTAAAAAAAAAAATAACATATCTATAATTCATGTGGTGAAAGATTTATTGATGTGATTATATTTTAATTCTAATTAAAAAATCATGATTTTGAGTGGAAAAGAATTACATGAACAAGTAGTTTTTGTTTCTGTTTTTTTCTGCAACGTATAGATATAAGACATATGTGATAGCATTCCGCTATTTATTTTTAAGCAACAAAATTTTGGATTACCTTTAACTTTTATTTTGAATAATTAAATATATACTTAGATTCTATTAAACATTTCAATTTATAAAATTAAATTGATTAAATATTAATTAAATAATTGAAAAATATATATTATTCTATAAGTTATACCGGCTACATATCAAATCAATATTTTAATTTAAAAATTAAAAACTCTAAAAATTGTCACTACTAACATGAAGAGATATGCAATAATACCTAAATTTATAATTCTAGGAACATAATAAATCTCAAAAATTGGGATATCACAAATTTTTTAATAAAAAAAAGGAGGTATATTTATATAATTAACTGGATAATTTATCATCTGAGTGATTATACAAGGAGAATTTAAATTTTAACAAATTTTTAATAAAAATTAGAGAAATATAATAATACGTTGATCAATTGTAATTCGATTGGTTTTCTATTTTTTATAAAAATATGGGATAAATTCCAAATACATTTAACCAAAAAAATTTTCATAATTTGAAAATATATGATAAATGCTTTTTTGGTATGAAAATAATCTCTCTGTCCCAAAATATAAGTCGTTTAAGGTTTTTATACAGAGATTAAGAAAACAATTAATTCTCCTAAATTATAACAAAATCAAAGGTAATTTGATTAAATTATCCATATCTCAAACCAAGAGTTATTTGTGAAGGTATTGATTGTATTTAATGTAAATAATAGTAATATTAGAAAAATATCATTTATTACTCTTTGAAATATTCAAAACGACTTATATTTTGATAAAGGGATTATTAGAGTGCCACAAAATTAAAAGTGTAAACATTAGGAGCATTTTTATGTATTAGACTATTTCTTAATAGCCTAATACATAAATACCGTTGGCAGATTCTCCTTATGGCTATCTAAATTTTACGAGAGATTTAATCATGACTCTGCATTTTTACACTATAATAATAATTATATACTCATTAAAATAAAATAATTTTTGTTGAGTTTATAAAATTATAGAGTTACGATGGGTCCCTCTCAAATTCAAAGAGGACACAAAATAATGGCTTAGAGTACGTGATTAAATTTATGCATCTAAACTTGACATCATGCATGTCAGAAACATTGGCCCAATCCTACATCAGAGGAAAATGTCTGGACCTGCATTTACATATGCACCTAAGTGCTTACCAAGTACTTATAATAATGGAAAATGGCCAAAGCAGAGTACCAAACAATTTTGCACCTATAGAAACAGTAAGAGTAACATTCTACCTCTATATATTGTCCATTTATTTTTTAATTTTTTCATATCAATCTCGGCCGACATTGTCATTCCTCTCTCACATTATTGAAAACAATACAAAAAAAAAAAAAAAAAATTCAAAAAACGAATACAAAAAAAAAAAAAAAAAAAAAAAAGTATGCATTCCTCAAATATTATATGGTGTATTGCTCAACAGCTTTTATTTATTTGTTTATTTATAAGAAGCATATTTGCTTTCTATAATTGATGGCTCCGCTTGCCATAATAACCATCCAATTGTTTCTCCTTCTGATTTATGAGCCAGTGCTCATGTCAAATGAGAAATTGTAGCTGCACATTTTGATGGAGAGATGTGGTGGTTGGAGCAGAGGTAGTGGCCACAACAATAATGGTGGTCGCCAAGAAAGCATATTGAAAATTTTTCCACGAGAGATGACCATAGGATAGTGTATATATATATAATTTTATGGAATTTTATATTTTTAGAAGTTATATTTCACTTGACTAACCGTAAATCATCAAATAATTAATTAAAAAAAATACTAAACAATAAGAAAAAAAAAATAAATTATAAAAATTATTAAGTTAACCTATGGAAAATGAAGAGTTTATTTAATATATTTTGTGCAATAGAAAGAGCAAATAATAATTTATTATTTAATAACTAACACTTTTAATAATAGGTAATCTATCAATTTTGCTAATCTATATCCCACTACACCTCATAGCCAATTGTCCTTCCTTGCCTCCTATTCTCATAGCATGACCTCCAATTTATTGACACCTATAAAACACGTTTAAATCCCTTTTTCTATCATCCTATACCCACCAAATAAATAATTTCATTTTTTTTTAACTTTGTGAAAAACAAACTTGAAAGCAATTGCTTCATGATTTTTTGATATTTTTTTAGATTTTACAACTTTTGTTCCATTAATTTTTTATATTTTTTTTTCTTATTCCATTTTTATGATTTTTTTAGAAAACCATTATAGCATTAATTGTTTTATTTTAACGCTACTCTTATTTAGATGTCTTCATTCAATAAATATTTATTTCATTTAATTTTACAATTTGGAGCATTCAATGTAATAATTTTACAAGTTGAAGTGTTTAACAAATATAATTTATAAAAGACAAAAAAATTAAATTAATCTCTGAATAATAGTCAAATTAATACATAAAGATCTTTATTTTCATAAATTAATTATAAAGTCTCTAAATTATTATTTTATTAACACTTAACAATGGGATCAAAATGTTAATTAAAATTATAAGCTAAAGACCTCATAGATCGTTTGATGATAATTTTAGGGACCAATTTTTCAGCTAGCCAATTGATAGTTAAAAGAGATTATTTTGGACGAAAAAGTCAATATATTAATGAAATCATAATTAGGGATCTCATAATTAGTCGAAAATTTAAAATTCTCATAGATTAATTTAACTGCGGTTTAAGGGCCAATTTAATTTTTTTCTTTCATAAATTAAAATGTTTAACCGTCAAATAAAATTTGAGTCATATTTTTACAAAAAGTAAAGGAGTGAAGTTATGCGGCATAATGCATAAATATGCTACTTTAGGCGAAAATTTAAAATTCTCATAGATTAATTTAACTGCGGTTTAAGGGCCAATTTAATTTTTTTCTTTCATAAATTAAAATGTTTAACCGTCAAATAAAATTTGAGTCATATTTTTACAAAAAGTAAAGGAGTGAAGTTATGCGGCATAATGCATAAATATGCTACTTTAGGCGAAAATTTAAAATTCTCATAGATTAATTTAACTGCGGTTTAAGGGCCAATTTAATTTTTTTCTTTCATAAATTAAAATGTTTAACCGTCAAATAAAATTTGAGTCATATTTTTACAAAAAGTAAAGGAGTGAAGTTATGCGGCATAATGCATAAATATGCTACTTTAGGCGATTATCCTTGTAGACTCCTGAATTTTACAGGGAACACATTATAATCATACACTTTCATATTTCAATAATAATTATACTACTTGCCGAAATAAAATATGAAAATGCAAGGTCATGATTATACTTTTGAAAAATTATTTCAATTTTAAGAGAAAGACAATTATTATTGAAATGTAAAAATACAAAATTATGAATGAACTCTGTAAAATTCAGCTGACCATAAAGAAAATGTAAAATTTAGAGTCAAATTTATGCGTTGGAGTGAAGTTATGCCTTTGGCCCAATCACTCCATGACAAGCGATCCATATGTGATTTGGTTCCATACTTTTAATAATTGCATACATACGTCTAAGAAATATATGAGCCCAAAGAAAACACCAAAATTAGACGCCTCATAGACTAATGCTCGACTGGTGCCTAAAAAAAATGTCTTCTCCTCTCTTAGCAGTCTTTCTTCTACTGATAGCCACCGCCTCTGCAGCGCCACTCCGGCCAGGATTCTATGCCGAGACATGCCCAGAAGCTGAATCAATTGTGAGGAAAGTGATGAGAAAGGCCATGATTAGGGAACCAAGAAGCGTTGCCTCTGTCATGCGCTTTCAGTTCCATGATTGCTTTGTTAATGTAAAAAACTAGAACATATCAATTCAAGATTTTGAATTAACATTTTCTGATTTGATTTTGAAATTTTGAATTCTTATTTCATTCGTTTATTTATTTGTTTCTTTGTGAAGGGTTGTGATGCTTCTTTATTGCTGGATGATACGCCAACCATGTTAGGAGAAAAACTTGCTCTTTCCAATATAAATTCGTTAAGGTCTTTTGAAGTTATCGATGAAGTTAAAAACGAGTTAGAGAAAGTTTGTCCAGCAACCGTTTCTTGTGCAGATATTGTAATCATGGCCGCTAGAGATGCTGTTGCTCTGGTAATTCTATATTTTCTCTTCCTCTTTCTCTCTATTGGGTCTTTAGCAATTAGGGTATTCTTGTTGGAAAGTGCATATCTCATTGTACAAGTCCATATCTCAAATCTTGATAATCTCTTTTATATTTTTCCATTTGATATGTATTTTTAAAAAGAAAATACATCAGAAGTACTACTTCAATGGAATTTTTGCAAAAAAGTTTGTCTTTTTCCAATATAAAAATCAAATTTCAAATCTTGACACTTTCTCTGATAATTTTCCTGATTTATGAAAAGAAAATTTTCTTGCCGGACATTCTGTGATGAGGGTCCTTTTGTCCAACGTTTGTCAATTAATTAATTAAAGAACAACCCACTTGATAAAATATTAAATGCCAATGTAACTATAGTAAGTTACAAATAGGTTTTGATTATTAGTATTGACTAATTAATTGTGTGGATTTTATTGAAACAGAGTGGAGGGCCAGATTGGGAAGTGAAGTTGGGGAGAAAAGATAGCTTAACGGCAAGCCAAGAAGACTCAAATAATATAATGCCAAGTCCAAGAGCCAATGCCAGTATTCTAATAGACTTATTTTCAAGATTCAATCTTTCAGTCAAAGACCTTGTAGCCCTTTCTGGGTCCCATTCAATTGGTGAAGGAAGATGTTTCTCTGTAATGTTTAGGCTCTATAACCAATCAGGAACAGGCAAACCCGACCCGACAATAGAACCAAAGTACAAAGAAAAGCTAAACAAGATATGCCCAATAGGTGGAGATGAGAATGTGACAGTATCTCTTGATTCAACTCCAACCGTGTTTGATAATATATATTTCAAAGACTTAAGTGAAGGGAGAGGATTTTTAAATTCTGATGAAACACTTTTCACCTTTCATCATACAAAAGAATATGTTAAGCTCTTTAGTAGAGACCAATCTGCCTTCTTTAAGGCTTTTGTTGAAGGAATGATAAAGATGGGGGATTTGCAATCTGGCAGGCCTGGAGAGATCAGAACAAATTGCAGAGTTGTTAATAGTGTTAGAAGGCCTGTTAATGTTCTAATGGAGTCTTGATTTCAAGGCTTTTAGGAAGTAATTTGAGATTATTAAACGAATGATATAATAGTTGCAAATTAGTTAATATATTCTGGGGATAATGTTATAGTGGCTGCTGATATTGGAAATTTGTTACTATCAATCAATTTATCTTTTTTTTAATGTGGATGAATGGATGAAAAGATGCCTTTGGTTGGAATCTTTGAAAAATCAAAAGGGAATTATATCAAACAGTTGGACGACATGCAATTTTAGTTGCTTTGTTTTGGTTTTGCTTTTCGTTTATTTATCCTTCTTTTATGGCTTGATAATTGGGATGTTTATCTATACAACTTAGGATGGTGATGGTGATGTCGATGTCCGATTAAAGCTTAAAAAGAGAAGAAAATGCAATTCTTATTTGACCATCATTGCTTATTTCTCAAAGTTAATTATTGGTACGCCCTCGTCTCATTTAAAATCTCTCTTTTTTGTCTTTTGACTATTTTTTTATACAATTCAATCACGATACAATTCATAAAGAAATAGTCTTAAGTTGTTTTATTAAATCAAAATTGACTTTTCTTCTCGTATATCACTTCTCGCATAAACAAAAAGATTAATTTAACATGCATAGTTACTATTATTTCTATTATTTATTACTCTATTTGTTCTCTGTATATTGAGAAAATAAAATTTGCACAAACATTAATGAAGTAGTTTAACTGGATATTTTGTCAATTTTTTTCCTAATTTGCGCTTGGAACGCCATTAAGTTTTGTTTTTATTTTTAATGCTAGCCAACTCACGTTTTCCTTCTCTAAAGGGTGCATTTAATGCATGTTTTACAAGCAAAATTGGAGGGAAAGAACTAATTGTGTTACAATCAACCATATTGCATTGAACGGAGAGAAAATATACCTTCAATTCTGCTTTGGAAACTTAAGAACATCAAATGCATTACACATCTTTTGTCTACAATTATCTCGTTTTTTTCATAAAATTAATGCAGGTAACAAAGTTAGGATAAGAGCATTATAGTCTATTTCCTTTGAATTAAATAAATTTCTCCACATAAAAAACACTAATTATAATTTTTCTCTATATAAAAGAGAACATACGGAGTATATTATTTGAAAGCATAACGCTTGTACTAGTGTTTTGGGAAAAAGATTTACCTACATACGGTTTATAAACTAATTTATACATCAAATCAATTACAAACAGTGTTTTGATTTAAACGAAAGTATTTCTGATCTGAGAAAAAGGATAAAATAGTAATATTTAAATTTATTTTTTTGATTTACGCCAAACTATCTATACACAGAATGTAAATAAGAAATTTACGTATTTTTAAAGGTCAAGATATAAAATGTTACTCCTTTATTTATTCCTCTTAAAATTTACTAGTTATCTCAAAGTGCGTTGCAAGTTGTTTCATTGATGTTTCATTGATTTTTTTTATAAATTGCAAGTAAATGTAATTCAATTTTATATATAAATTTTTATTATTTTTTTATTATAAATTATAATATTATGAACTATTTATATTATTAAAATTAATTGTATTTATAAAATAGAAAAAAGAATATTTTATGAAATAATAAAATAAAAAATTTAATAATTAAATAACCTGTTAAGGAAATAACATATTTATAATAATAATATATCATTATAATTTAACAATCAAATATTCATGATAAAATTATTAACCAAACAATTTAAATTTTTTTATAATAATTTAGATTTAATTAACTTAATTTTTTCGTATATATTAGAGTATTAGAAACTATCTATATTATTAAAATATGAGAAACTAATATTAGCTATTATAATAATTAATATATTAATAATCATTTTGGCGTGTCAGTTATAATTTTGGTATTCTTTTTAACTTTTTGCTAAAGTATATCAACATATTATTAATTTTATGGTTGCTTCTTTTGAGAAAAAAATTCTTTCAAAGTATTATATGATTTGCTAAAATAACAGGATATATATATTTCTCGTGATTTTTATTTTTTATTTTATATCAAACAATAAATCCTCTAATATATATTCTAAATAAATAAAAATAAATTATATTTATTTTTATACAATAAGTTACTTGTACCAAATAATTATAACTAATTAAATTTAAAATTTATTAAAATAAAAATTAATACCTCACATTAGAACACCTGACATTATTGAACAGAATTTTAATGTTTTAATTATAAAACTCTTACCTCTTCCCCTCCAATGATATCTAAATTTAAAAAACCGTTTTAAAGAATTTCAATTTTTAAAAGGTCTTGTGTAAATTTGCCCTTGAAGTTTACGTGATTTGCTATATGGCACCCTCAAATTTATCAGCGACCTATTATGACCAAAGAACATTAACATTTCAGTAATAACCATGCCCTCGCTAAAATGAAATAACTTTGTAAAAGTTCAATAATGACCCTGTACTTTATAAGGCTTAGGTCATGATAAATCCTTCGCGAATTTAAAGGTGTTCTAGGACAAATCGTGTAAACTTCAAAGTAAATCTATATATTTCACTACTTCTAAAATAATATATGACTCCATTTGAATGAATGTATATTTTAAACGATTGAATATTTACATTTTAAATGATCATCTATTCCTTTCAAAAAAATAAAATATCATCTATTCAAGCGAAAACTCCAACCATTAGAATTTGTTGAAGTTTCCTTTTTTTTTTTTTAGTATTGGTAGAAAGGAAAATTGAATCTGGATCTATTACCGGACTATGTATGTATTTACCGCTAAGTTATAGCTTTGTGTGCAAATTTGTTGAATTTTCTAATAAATGACTTAGACCAGTTATATTTATGCATATAGGGACAAACTAAGCTGTGGCTTTGGGCCACCGTCCCTCCAAATTAAAAAATATATATAATTTTGTCTTTTCTCAAAATATAAAAAATTATATTCTCTCTCCCAAAAGTTTTTTAAAAAAATTTCATTTCATTCCCCCCCAAACTTTACTTTTAAGTTTTGCCACTATTGCATGGAAGTGGACAGTAGGATTTGCCACTGTGTAATAGTAATGCATTGAAAAAATGTATGTATGTAGACATATGTTGAACTTTCTGAAGCAGAGAGATGACATAAAAATAGTAGAGAAAAGAGCATTGGACACATCACAAAACACAGTTCCTAATACCCAACATTGTTGGTAGCACATGGAATTGAGTAGAAACATGCAATAGAACCAAAGGTTGAAAAATCTTTGTTTGGCACTCATAAAGAGAGAGAACATATGGTGATGGTGATGGTGACTGTGACGGTGATGGTGGTCCATGCATGCATATGCATATATACCATCAACTAGCAAGTGAGGTGGGAACAAAGGCATTACCTTTGTCCACCACTAGCCTCTAAGAAATCCTAAATCTCTAATTTTATGCATACAAATATACTTGCTTTCGAGTAACGGAATCAAACTTCTAGGGATAAGACTCTCAACTTCTAGGGATAAGACTCTCAAATGCTGATGTTGGGCTTTTGGTTTTCAAGTGGGTCACAATATATACACTACAAAATGCTTTTATCACAAGCAATGAACTTTTGTTTTGGAGTTTTCTCTAAAATTATATGGTCGTTGAAACTCCAATTAGGACTATTATTTCTTTGTAAATTGTAGTATAAGTAATCATTTTGAATTTTATGTAACGAAATCAGTTGGATTAATAAAACTATGAATTTTTATCTTTTATCTATTAGGTTTGACTCTTTATAAAATCAATTTAAAAATATTATTTATAAATGCACTAGGTTGATATTTATTATAAGAAAGTTACGGTTTTAGAATTACCTTAAAAGGGTGCCGTCTAACGAATTGTTAAGTTCGGCTTGAAAAGAGTTCGAAAAAGTTCAGCTCGAATCGAGCTCGAGCCTAATGATATTTAGCTTGAAAAACCGTCGAGCGTTATCAAGCTTTTCTATATACATATATATGTAATATTATTTTAGGTTACTCAAGCTTCTAGTTTAAAATTTTTTGAGTCCTTAAGTTGGGTTTGAGCCTAAAATTTTCAAACTCGTTGATTTTCAAGCTGAACTAAATTCTATCGAACTGAGTTTTGAACCTAACAGATTTGAGCTTGACTCGGCTCATGCACACCCTTAGTGCTTAATTTGGTGTAAAAGATGATATGAAAATATATGGAAAAGAAAAAACACTATCTAAAGATAGGATATGAATTTCAATAAATTTACGATTATAAACCTTTTGGTACGATAAAAAAATTTAAGGGAAGATATATACAAATAAGGGTGTGTTTACTTACAAAAAATAATTTTCTATTTTCTATGAAAAAAGTTTTCTTAGAAAATGAAAATTAGAAAATAGAAAAGGAAAAATGAGTTCACATGGCAATAATAAAAAAATTTATATTTTAATTTGAAAACTTCACAACATTATTATAACTTTCATAATTAAAATAAAATATTATAAAATAACTTTAAAAATTTTTTATTTAAAATTTTTAAAATTTTTATTATCCATTATTTATGATAACAATATCAATTTTTGTCATTTTGTAAAATTGTTTAAACATAAAGTATACAATATATTTGTAATAATATAATTATTATATATTAAAGCATAATAAAATTTTTTTATGTTATTTAAATATTTTTATTTATTCAATAAAAATGTTTTATAGAAAAAATTATTCATAGATATTATAACTTCAATTATGAAAATGTCATTTTATAAAAATAGAAAACAGTTGGGAAACATGTTTTTTTTATAACTTAAAAGCCTTTTTTCAAACCTTAGTTAAATTTTAAAAATTGAAAAACTGTTTTTTAATCTTCCAAATAAAAAACTGACTGATTTGAACATAAAACTCTATTTTCCAGTTTTCTTAAAAAAATTTTCTAGAAAACTATTTCAGTTTTCTACAAGTCAACACACCCTAAATGTTTCCAATGTTTTCCGTATAAATTTACTATTATAAACCTCTTGGTACAATTCAAAAACTTAAGGGAAGATATATGTGATAAATGTTTCCAATATTTTCAGTAATAAATTCACCTCTAAACTTTTACTGAAAAATTTTGTGATACCTTCAACTTTTATTTTAACACGGTGAACCCTACAACTTGCAAAATTGCATTTATTAAATATTTCAATTTACAAAATTATTCAATCGCACATTTCAACATGTAAAATTATAAAAAAAGTATAAAAATTATTGCTCTAAAAATTATATTAATCACACGTCAAATCAATATTTTACATATAACAGTAAAAACTATTATTGCTAGGGTTAAGTGACATAAAAAATTCTTCGCGAAAAGTATCAAATATTGTATATACTTGGCCAAATTAATTTCGTATAAACCTTTTTAATTTTCAATTTGATGCAAATCATGATCCATCCATGAAATATAGGTCTAAAGAATGTCATTAAACTAAGATATCTTGAATGCATGTTGTAACAAGAAAAAGAAAAGGAAGATTTGGAGTTTATGGAGAAAAGATATGAGCAAATCAATTAAGATTGAAAATGAGCAAAGCATTGATAAGATTCCATTGGCATTGTTCTTTCTACATAATAATAGAAAGGTAAAGAAAATTAAAAAAAGAAAAAAAAAGAAAAAAAAACAGAAAACGAAGCAAAATGTGAATAAAGAGAATCTGAAAACATGATGATCGTTATCCTTCCTACCCACCAACAATACAAAGACCCATTTTGACAAGAGTTGTAGGGGCCATTCCATCTTTTGATGTTTTAACAAATCAGGACGATCGTTGCTGTCAATATCACATTGCTATTGCTATTGCTATATTACACCAAATGCATATTGATATGGCTTCCTGCCAACCATTCACATTTTTAAGAATTACGCTTTTACACAAACACGACTCTCTCGCTGATATTTTCTTTTGCTATTTCTATATTAGGCCATTTCCCACAACGAGCTTACTTGAATTAATTTTGATCACTCATTTAATTAATCTTCATAAAGTTAATATTACAATTAATAAAAGAATTCATGAATTTATCGAATAATTTTAAAATAAAATTAAATAATTTAAATTCCACAATTAATAAAAGAATATGGAATTGAAAAATCTTGATTCTAAAATACTAATTTCTTTTTGTAAATGGTGGAATTGAGGGTTTTTTTTATTTTTTATTTTTTATTTTTTAAAAAATGCACTGTAGAATAACATCAAACAAGCCTTTGGGTAGAAATTCCTATTTCCTACGATGTCAGAGCAAAGCAAACTACTAATATTAAGGTTTTTCAAAAATAAAGCTTTCAAGATAAGCTATCCAATCTACACATAATTAACTTTCCTTTTATATATGATTTACTAAAATTTGCCATGACATTATACCTATTTTCTATCAATTAAATAAAAGAATTTGGTGAATTCTTTAAATGTTTAAACTTCATCATTCAAATTTTATCTATTTAAATAATCTTTTTTTAAATGTAATTCATTAATAATAATATAAGGAATTACAAACACTCGTATATATATCAGACATAGAACTTTACTAGTAGTAACTAATAGAGTTCGTTGATCTTTTAACAAGAAAAAAGAGAATTTATATCTTTTTGAATAATAAAACTAAAATTAAAAACTATAATATTATATCCTTCTGTTTAGAGTTGATATTGACAAAAAATATAAACTCTTCATAGTAGAAACTCGTCCGTTAATTGATTTGGACAATAAAATAATAACTTTTCCGAGAATTTGCAACATATGAAGAACATAGATGAGTTTCCGCTAATATGCATCAATAGTATCAATGGAGGAACAAGCTACACTATTAGGCTACATTGATTAAAGATCCACACCTGAAAAATAAAATCTAAAGTCTCAAACCAAATAAAGCCAAATATTATATTTTTAGTAATAAACCCTCATAAAAAAGGGACAACTCTCGCAAAGAATGAACAAAAACAACTCCAAATATGAAAACAGAATAACAATACCAAAATAAGCAAAAAAGACAGTTATGTTTTAGAAAAAACAAATATGAGTTTATTAAAGTAAATAAAAGATTAGAAACAAAATAAGGTGAATCAAAAGAAAGAGTAGAAGGTAGGACTACCGATGATAAATAGCGGTAGCCCCAAAATAAAAGGCGCAATACATAAATTTACTCTTGTATTTTTCACAAAAATTTTGTGGCATCCTCAACTTTTATTTTAGCCCATTGAAACTTCAATTTATAAAATTGTATCTGTTAAATACTTTATTTGATCTATTGAATATCTCAACTTATAAAATTAGATCTATTGAATACTTATTGAAAAATTAAAAAATATATAATTATTGTTTCCAAAATTATACTAACCACATATCAAACCAATATTTTGCATATAAAAGCCAAAAAAAATCATAAAATTTTACTAATTTTAGTGTAAGGAGGTGTGAAATTGTCACAAAAGGTGAAATTATGGGTACCGCAAAGTCGATTTTAGAGTTGAGGGCGCCACAAGGTTTTTTTGTCAAAATTCAAGGGTTAAATGAGTATTTCCCTTAAAATAAAACTAGGGTTAGAAGACTAGAGACAAAGAGAGAAATAATCTTAAGATCTAATTGGTGTATCTATTTTATATTATAAAATATAATGTATTTGAACTTTAGGGCTATTAGCTCTCTGAAAATTTATAATAAATAAAAAAAAATAAAATAATTAATTAGTTATGGTTTGATTGGTCTTCCTACTAATAAGGAAAGCGAGAAATTTCGGGTTTGAATTCTTCCAACTATAAAAGTTTTCACTAATTTTGCGAGTTAATAAAAGGTTATAATTACTTCTATTGTATATTTCATAGTAATTTTTTCAGCCCATTGAACCTCCCAATCAATAAAAAAATCAAATCAAATCAAATCAAATTAATTACTATATTTAATTATTTACTATTTTAGAAAGCATTTTTTTTTTTCTATTAAACACATCCAATGAATAAAAAAATCAAATCAAATCAAATCAATAACTATATTTAATTATTTACTATTTCAGAAAGCAATTTTTTTTCTATTAAACACATCCAAAGTTTGGGGTTAAAACCTTGAACGCTCCTTCGTGAAATTAGTAAAGTTGACTTGTGTGTGGCCTACTGTCTCTTCTTCTTCTTCTTCTTCTTCTTATTCTTTTCTTCTTCTTGCAAATCTTTCTCTGTAACTACACAAACTTGAAAAAGAAATCTTTAAATTAATTGAGTAATCTTCTTTTTTCAATATAAAGGGTTGAGACTCAATTGAATTGTTTGCTAAACTCAGAAGCTATGAGCTACCAAATCCCATCAATAAATTAATGCCTAAATAAACAGATCCTAAATTGTTTGCTTGAACTCATATCTAATGCTATGTTTGAAAAGAAGAGCAAATAAACTAAGAGCGCAAGTAAAATAAGTTTATAAATTAATACTATTCACTTTCCTTTCAAAATGGAGTGAAAATTAGAAACGGATGACGTAAAATATGTAAAATTTATTATATACTTTTCTTGCCATTTTCAGCCAAATCAAATAATGGATTTTGAAAATCCTAAGATATTTTCATCATCTATTTTACATTCAGTCATATTTTACACGCATCCAAATAAGGCATAAGTTTATTGATGGTTTCAGTGCCGTGAATACCGGAGGATAGAGTACAGATGCAAATGGAAGCTAGAAACCATAGCTACAGATGCAAATGGAAGCTAGAAACCATAGCTAGTAGTACAAGTTTGTCACAAGCTACACTAGGGAAGGGCCTATGTCAATATGTTTTGCCAAACGGAAGCTTGTAGAACCATCAAACTCTATTTACCAAATGCATATTTTACCTCCCTCATTTTTCAACAGAAAACCTCGTGACTCTCAACTTTACAGGAAATCATTTATTCATCTTCAATTTTATTTTATGTTATAAGTTAACCATGCACCTTACCCCCAAGGGCGAAAGCAGAGGGAAACGAGAGCATGCCTTCTTTTGGAGTCTTGCTCCGCGCTGCTTGCCATATTGGCACAGAGAACATGCCTTCACTTGCAAAGTCGAGTTGGAAGGAGTTAATACACAGCAAACAAAACGACACTTCATGGAGTTGGTACACCTCAATTTTTTTTCTAATATTTTTTTTAGCTTCTTACTTGTTTCTGTGTTTAACTTGAATTTAACATTCAATATTGAATCATTGTTTCTTAGTTTCCAAACAGAAAATAAAGTAACTCATTAAGCCTAGAATACTAATCGATTTCAAAAAAACAAATCAAATTTTAAATATACACTAAACATATCCTCTTCATTCTCTTTCTTTCATTTTATTGATCAATTGAAACTTGTTTTTACACAAGCAAGTCCAACATATGGCATACTAAACAAAATAGCAATCTCTCCTTTTTGTTTTTTTTCCCCTCTCATCTTAAATTGTTAAAATTTATTTTGGAAGTGAATAAAAGATAACATATTTCGACAATAAAGAAATCCAAACCTTTAATTTGTGAATGGAAAAAATGAAATTTAATTTCTAATTCTCTTGTTTGGAAAAAATCCTTTGTTACAAACTTTGATTTCTAGAAAAAACTACTGATTCAAATGGCAATACACTTCCCAGCACAATCACCATCGTATATCTGAGCCACATAATTTGAAGAACGCCAATCGAAATTGAAGATCAATGATAGATATAGAAATCTTTTGGTTCATGAGGCATATCGCTAACTGGAAGAAGAGGGAGAGAAAATACTATCCTCCAAATCAATTCTTTATCATCAAATCTTTTTGTCCGGCATCTTTATAATTTTTGAAGATTAGTTAAATGACGAGGCAATGAGTTTTGATTTAATTCAAAGAAACCAGTAATTTAAGTATCATTTAAAAATAAAAAATAAAAAAATTACGTTCGATACTGAAACAGAAATTGAGAACTCGTGGGCCACTTATGTTGACCCCTAGGATCATCCTAAAGCTTATTGGACAACTGATTGGTTATATAGTTTAGGCCCGTAGAGATTGTATCTGAAGAATCTATAATTCTTTGGGCCGTCGAATTCTTTTAGTTTGTCATTCAAACTGGATCCAATTGCCAGTTAGTTGCATACCAAAAACTGGCAAGCTACCAAGCCTAAAAGTAAAAAAGCCACTTGAAAAGTATCACATTTTGGCATGCAAAAGATCAATAATCACTTGAAAATTAATTGAACTGTAACTGTAACCCAACTGATTTGCCCCCTACAAATGGTAACTAGCAATTAAACCCACTAAGAATAATCCTAACAGGATAAATGTATAAATACATAAAGGGGCAAAAAGCTCGATAAGGTGATAGGCTACAGAACCAAGGTACAAAAATCCATTTACTGAAACATTACACGATCAAACCCTGGAGGAAGAAGAAAACCCTGATAAACTTGTTCACTGCAAATAAAGAAACAAATTAAGCTTTCAAAATATCCAAAACATCATCTGCCATAAATCCAGCATTTCAAGCATTAACTAGCACCAGCACAATGAAATGGCTAACAATCCCACAATATGATAAAGATGAAAACAAAAATTCCAGGTATTTAAAATTGTTATAACATGAAACATATAAAATTCTCTCGCAAAATCCAAAGAACAATCAAAATTACCTCAACATATTTAAGAAATGACATCAATTTGACCAATATAAAATACCTATGCTGCAACAGAGGGCTTTGAGGCAGCAGACAATCTAGATCTCTTCTTTGCCAAGCTCTCACTGCGGCGCTCACGCTGCTCCTTCAATCTGGTGGCAAGGAGCTTCTGATACTCGGCTGCCTCAGCCTTGGCCTTTGAAATTCTCTTCTTCTTGTCTGCTATTCTAGCACGCTTCCTTTGCAAAGTCAAAGGAGTCACCAACCTCTGAATTTTGGGAGCTTTGCTAACCTTCTTACCTGCCAAACCAAAAAAAAAAAGCACCTTGTTATTGTTATTATTATTTGAACTCTTTCAAAGTAACCCAAAATCATCTCTCATTTAAGCTAAAAGGCAGTACTGACCAGATTTGGTTGTAAATGTTCGGCGGTAAGTGTTGACATACTTCCGGACATCATCCTCCTTGGAGAGGTTAAACAGTTTCCTGATCTTTGATGCCCTCTTAGGACCTCTCATTCTAGGCTTCTCAGTGTCTGTCAGTCCTGGCAGATCCTGTTCACCTTTCTTAACAATAACCAAGTTCAAAACTGAGAGATCCTGACTAACAATGCATCCACGAACAGACTTCCTTCTTCGTTCTCCATTACGCCTCCCATATCCACGGAAGCAAGGGGTACCTGTCCATACAAGAATTATATTCAGATTGGTTCCATAAAAAGCAAGGAAAAAAAAAATAGCATGGTAAAACATACCAATAACCTCTTCTCCCCCAACTTCCTCCCCTCCCAAAAAATAAAAAGTTCCTTATAAAACATGTATAATATCACAAACGAACCTCGGTGAAGCAAAAGTCGAACACGGCCTGGAGTTAGAACTCCCTGCTTCATTGGAAAACCTTGTTTGTCACAGCCTCCCATAATCTTAAATACATAACCTTTGAACTCCTAAATGCATACAGATTGATAAACGTAAGAATAACTAAAAATAACATCACTTAAAATACTGGCATGGATATCAACTTCCTAATTATAGCATACCTCACCCAGGGCATCTCCACTGACTTCTTGTGATATCCTCTTGTCAAAAAATGCACGGACCTTTGAACTCCTAAATGCATACAGATTGATAAACGTAAGAATAACTAAAAATAACATCACTTAAAATACTGGCATGGATATCAACTTCCTAATTATAGCATACCTCACCCAGGGCATCTCCACTGACTTCTTGTGATATCCTCTTGTCAAAAAATGCACGGCTGTCATGAGAAACCTTTGATATGAGTTACAATGAACTAAGCTATTAGCTTATGAATATAATGGTTATTAATGCAGCACAAAGCCACACAAAAAGAAAATGTTAAAAGGGTAGAGCTGCACCACTTTCGTTTCTCCTTTTTTTTTTTTTTTTTTTTTTTTCCTTTTTTTTTTTTTTTTTTTTTTTCCTTTTTGGTGAAATTGGCTAGGTCAGGATACAAAACAGCCAACAGATGCACATCTAAATGAATTCATCCACACTCTTGAAAGTTAGCATCATATTTTCAACTTTTTAAGTATTATAAACAGAATTAAATTGAGTGTGTTTACAGACAATGAACAAACACCCAGGTAAGAAAATGCTTGATAGCCTGCACAATATGCATCATTAGTTACTAAACAAGGACGACTTAACATTGGAATCCAAGCAAACTTCTATAATAGAGAGAGAGAGATTCGAAGGAGGGTTGAGGAGTTGGTTCTGAAATTACATTTCAAAAACATCTAAATTAACCCATGAGTTTGAGGTTCAAAGCCACAAGGGATATATTACATTCACATACAACACTTTCCTAATAGTCAGTTTCTGATTTAAGATGTATTATTATTTTCGCTTTTGTTTCTCACCATCCAAGCCAAGGTCCAAGTGATAGAAAGGAAAATGGCAGCATAACTGAGTTTTTCTAAGTTTTTGTATCTGTGCTAATACTACTACGCCCTCATTGCCTTACAAAATTAAATCATAACAGTCCCCATTACAGAATTCTACTACATTTGGTTAGCACAAAAACTAAATTAACAAATGGAGGCACTTATGTTTACTAAAACAAAACGAGTTAATTTCCTGAATAGTAAATTCAAAAAATTCCCTTATCCAATTACTTTAATTTCATCACCTCTAATGCATTTCAAAAAGCAAAATACACATCCCTTGCTTCATAACCATTCCCCAATCCAAAATTTTACTTTGACCATCTACATATCCGTGCAAAACCAAATCTAGCAATAATAATGAATAAAAAGAAAAGATCCATACAGTTTCTGGTCATCGTCTATCTCGAGTTTCTTCTGGCACCCAGTCGTTGGATTTGCTATATTGAACTGTCCACAGAGAAAGAGACGTAGCAAGATTGAGAATTTGGTTTTTGTTAAGAGACAGAAAACACTAAAGCGTACAAGAAAGAACCTTCATTTTCGATGGTGTAACTCGCTACTGCCCAGGTGTTAAATGGGAAGCGAAATGCTCCTCCTGCACTTGTAGCTCAAGGGCTCTCTCTTGCCTGTAGCAAATTAGGGTTTTTGAACTTTTTATAGTGGATATATATATGAATGAGGGATTCTTGGGTGTGATTAGAACCATCTACTTAAACATGTGTTATTTGTTAAGAAGTGAACACATGTAATCGTGATTGGACTTTAGTTCTCTAGAGTCGGTAGTATGATTACTATCTTGATAAGATTGCTTTTTTTTTTTTTTTTTGGGTTTTTTTTTTTTTTTTTTTGGGCTTTTGAGTGGCTTGGTTAATGGGCCTATTTTAGGGCGCAAACAGATAAAAATTATGGAAAATGGTTTCTTTGGTTCGGGATGGTTCCTTTTCGATCGTTTTCATTGTTTTTCTTTATTTTTTTTAGTTTTCTTCCCAATAATTTTCAGATTTGTGATTGGTTGAAGCAAATTTTATATTTAGTCTCTTAAATCTAATCATAGATATTTGAGCGTTTTTGCTACTTTTTTAGTAGGATTATATGCTTTTGATTTAACATGTTTTCCCTCCTTTTACGGGTTACTCCTAGTTATTATGGATTTTTTATCCATTTGTGATTTTTTCTTGATTGACATATCGGACTACAAAATGGATCATTACTTATGACGAAGACTTTAAATATATTCCTTACATAAACTTTGATATTTTAAATTCTTCTACATACGTTAAGTCTAGCAAACATCCGAAAGGACAAAATACAAAATAATGTTGCAGAAATTTTTTTTATTGTTGTCGTACCTCTAAAAAAAGAATCAATTTTTACGCGGAAGTAGAAGATTTCAATCTTTTACTTTTTTTTTAGAATCAATTTTATTTTGTATTTTTAAACATATGTGAATATCATGGTGTATTCAAATAATATCTTTTACTAATAAATTGGCAAGTTTCTAAAAAATCAGAAATATACAATATTACTAAAATTCGTAATTTTAGAAATATAATAGAATTTTTTTTTTCCAGGGTTTGGAGCGGTACGAGATTTTTAACTAAATTTTTAACTAAAAAAATATAATGGTGAAATTTATGTATTTGGCAATTATGTAAATGACAAGAAAACTAATAAAAGAAAAGAACGTACGTGTCATACATATGACCCAATAGAAGTGAAAAAAAAAAAGATATCATAGATCATAAGATACTAAACTTTCATGTATAGTTTTGCTGATCTCATAAAGGATATGATTTTCAATTGAGATTGACTCTTTAATATAAACTATGAGAAAATTGTAATATACGATGTTAATTAATTCATGTGCTTAACCATAGCTTATCCACCATCCACTTCATATCCTTGTCACCTAGGAACTATAGATAAGATTAATATAAATCACATTAATATTTTTGTAATGAAATATATGATAAGTGCTTCATATAATATGTAATTAATTTATTAAAAATTTATAATAAATATAAAATTAACATAATATATACATGGAAAGCGATTTGCAGTATGTGCTTGCCCTGTCCTATATAAGAATATGTCACCATACATGATAGTTTAGTCGTCTTTTTCTTTTTTTCTTTTTTTTTTTTTTTTAAATTATATCGGTGAATTTATGTCACTTTTACCATAAAGTTGAACTATCAAGTTACTGTTAATGGATGACAGAGAGAAAAGTAAAATGCCAGTTTTGTGTTCTGATTTGCTCTTAATTTAACTTTGTGGAGTAAGATTTTGCAACAACCAGCACTCTCAAAAAGCAGCCTCTAATACTATTGATTTTTTTTTAAATAAATATTTAATTTTCTAAAAAAAATATTTTTTATAAGCATTGAAGCTATCCATTGCATTTCAACACATAAAACTATTGGCATAGAGTTCCTTTCTGTATAATAATATCATAAATTTGCCTATCAAAATTAAGCGATTTGCCTTGTGACACCTTAAAATTTGTAAATAATAATTATTACAAAAATATAAAAATATAAGATCATAATAGATCTTCACAAACTTAAGCTGCAACAAGGCAAATTATGTAAATTTCAGAACAAATATATGCATTTGGCTTTTTTACCTTCTAGTATGCATCTTTATCTTGTCTTATTCCCAAATTGTCTTAAAGAAAAGAAAAGAAAAGAAAAGATAGGAAGAAAGGAAAGCAGAATTAAGAGAATTATTACAAATGGTCTCTATACACAAACCCAAAAAGAAAAAACACAATAACTTCCTTGGCTAAAGAAAATCAACTGACTATACGTGAAAATAATGGCTTTATATATCTTTAAACTGCCATTCTCAGTTACACTCATAGAGCACAAACAAAATCACCACTTGTCTCTATATCATCAATGTCAGCATCATCTATATCATCAAGATCCATGCTTCCTCCAATTAAATGTCCAATTTTTTGACCCTCTGCAGCTTTTCTTGCCTCTTGAATTATACCTAGTATATCTTCAATGCTTTGAGATTCTTCACCTTTATCATTATTTTGCAGGATTCCTTCCTCATCGTCCATGAATTCTTTAGGCAAGTCCTTCAGGAACCAAGGGTGCTTTTTGATTTCTGGTATCGTTATTCTCTACAATGCAAAAAGAGAAGTCTTAAATTTGTTGTATGAAACTAAAGAATTCTACAGTAGTTAATTTTATCAATGCAGCCACTTTTGGCATTACCTTTTCTGGGTTAGCTACAAAAATCCTAGACAGAAGATGTTTACATGCTGCAGAAACTCTAACATAATCAGGAATGGAATAGTGGACACTCAGAATCCTCTGCAATTAACAAATAATTGAATTTACTAAGGCATATAAAAACAGCTAGGATATTAAAAAATTAATGGGTCATTTTTATAATTAATGCAAAGTAGACCTGAATAGTTTTTCTGAAGTTTCTTGGATCTTCAGGATCTTCAAATGGATAAGCGCCAACTAGCATCACATACAAGGTAACCCCACAAGACCAAACATCTGCTATCTGTATATTTGACCAAATTAAAGATTAATATTGCAGAGTATTTTCCATGATACTCTCTAAACCAGATAAATAAATAATAGTTCGAATATTCAAAGCAATCTTTCAATACCTTCCCATCATATTCTTTCCTTGACAAGACTTCTGGTGCAATATAGGCTGGTGTTCCCACTGTAGACTTAGGTTGAGAATGCAATACAGAAGACTAAACAAAAACAGGTAAAAAACATTCAGCATTTAGGTTTATAAATGTAAAAATTTAATTTCATAAAAGACAATCAGTAAGTTCATTGCCTTGGAATAGCCAAAGTCACATATCTTGAGTTGCGGCGCTGAGCTTCCATCCAAAAGGGTATTTTCCAGCTTAAGATCTCTATGGCAAATTTGCTGCAACAATCAAATTAATTAGTGTCAAATAAGCATACACACTAACTTACCACGAGTCCAGTTGCCATTGAAGTTGAAATTGTTTACCCAAAAAGTACAATTTTAAATGTTGATAGAAACAACTGTTTTGGAAAGTTCTGTAGCTGTTTCAAGGTTTTTATTACTAGAATGCGAAACTTTAATAGCCTTTAATCAACATTTTCAACATTTTCTTTTTCTCCGAGCAGCAACTCAAATAATGCCAAGTAGAACCTAAATTGTTTCATAATAAGACAGGTAGAGAATAGTTACCATAGAATGGCAATAGCTAACTCCTGATATTAGTTGTTGAAAGAAAAATCGTGCCTGATTTATCAATTTACAGAAGAAGACAATATGAGAAAAAAAAAAAAAAAAAAAAAAAAAAAAAAAAGTGAAGATTGCAAATTATCTGCTTAAAGATTTTACATATATACCTCATCTTCACTGAATCTGCCAGCATTGCATATTCTCTCAAAAAGTTCTCCCCCAGCTGCATATTCCATGACTATGGCTAAATGAGTTGGTGTGAGAAAAACCTACACAATAAATTCAACTTTCATAAATCTGCAAAAACATAAACATACAAAATAAAATTGACAGTTCAAGATGTTTTCTACTCACAATTGAAAGCATCTTCAATCTGATAAGCAATTCCTTATCTTTTTGTCTCTTTATTATATTATCCTTTGCAAATTGACATAGTTTCATATTAAATCTATCTTGCCACATTTTTATTGGGAAAGCAGAGGATAAGGAAATCCCAGCCAAGCATATCTTTCTATCGCTTTGAGAAATGGCATAAGAGTAATGATTGAAGAAGGATATTTTGTCAAAATCTGGATGAATTTGGAAAACTTTTAGCCTCTTCTACTCCAAATGAACTTAAAAAAATGAAATTTGAAATAGAAAAATTATGATTGTGAAATATATTCTGTTCATGTCAATCACACCAAGAATTTGGGTTTGAAAGAAAAGTAGAATTGATCCCTGCAAATTAAAGACATGACTACACAAAGCATCTCCTTGAAAAGGGAATATATGAAACTCATAATTAGTAATTACCTCTTTGAATCTAATTATGTTGGGATGCTTCAATGACCTGTGGTTCATGATCTCTCTCTGCACATGCTCATCAATCTGGAAAACCCAAAAAAGGCAATAACACAAAAATGAATCCATGAAATTAGTGAAGACCAAAATTAACATTTGCAAAAAAAGAAAAAGAAAAAAAAACCTGGTAAGATCTTGAAGAAATATAATAAGAAATTATAAAATTATTAGAATAATTTAAACTTATAACCTCAAACTTCATTCTCAACCCAAAAGCAAACAAGAACAGAAAAATAAAAAATAAAAACAGCACCTTTTGGCCTCTCTCAATATACTTGACTGCATATAATTCACCACTCCAAGTATCTCTAACAAGCTTAGCAACACCAAAATTGCCAGACCCAATATCTTTCAATATCTGATAACGCTCCATCTATTAGCAAATGGGTATACAGAGACAGAGCTAATAGTAATTGACTTGAAGAAAATAATGGAACAATTAGTTTTGAATTTGATGTGTATATTTATAATTTATAATTTGAATGATGAAGATGATTGCTTCAGTTGGTTGTGTTGGCACTGTCCCTTTACTTGTTTGCGTTGAGAATCTCCATGGCTTTCATGGCCACGAATTTAAATGCTTTTGTGGGGTTGGTGTTATTTACCTATAGAATTGTCAAAATTGAGTCCTCGACAGCTGAGAATTGGAGTCAACGGACAGAGACAAGAGGACAAATCATTCCATGTGTCGTTTTTCTAGTGGCTTAAATTTACCAGTTGCAAACACTATCCTCTCTCATGCTTTGATTCACCTACGCGCTGTCTCTGCATTATATTTATTTTATTTTATTTTATTTTATTTTACTTTTAATATTCATATTATTAATAATTTAAATGTTTTACATATACATTTATAAAAAAAGTTTAACAATTTGCCCTAAAAAGATATGATAATTAATTCTTTGACTCTCTAAGATTGTTATACATAAAATGTTAGGTTTGAACACCTTTATCATTTTTAATGACTTACATTATCATTTTGGTAAACTTCTTCAAATTCTTGGTTTATGTTTTAAACAATTTGCTCCTAAAAGAATATGATAATTTAATCTTTGACTCTCTTAAGGATTGTTTTATACATAAAAATTGTTAAGGTTTGAACACCTTTTATCATTTTTTTAATGACTTACATTATTATTTCATTTGGTATAACTTCTTTCAAATTCTTGGTTTTTATATATATATATATATATATATATATATATATATATATATATTACTATATATATATATATAATATATATATATAAAGAAGAAAATTAAAAAAAAAACCTATTTAAAGATTTTACTTTCGTCATTTGTAAAACTGTAAAATCATATTATAACTCTGTTGAAAAAAACTTGATATTAATTTTTAAATTAATTAGTCATACTTTTGCCAAAAAAAAAATCAAGTCAAAAACAGTTTAGAAGTCAACTTTTATATTAAATTATTTGTAGATATGTTTTTATTTAAATTGAAGTAGTTCTAAAATTTAAGCTGAATTACATAATTTAACATCTAAACTTTATTGATTTTTAATTTAAAAAAAAAACTTGTGGTGTCTAAATTTTTAAAATGATTTTGTAGCGCTTTAAACTTATTTTTTTTGCCAATAATTTCGCTATCTTCTTTTAGACTTAAAAAAACAACAATTTTAAAGCTTTTAGTCTTTTTATATGCAAAATATTGATTTGGATATATAACATAAATACAACTTTTGAAATTAAATATTTTATATTTTTAAATATCCATTGAGTATTTTAACCGACCTTTTAATTTTATTAGCAAATTGAAATGTTTACGTTAAATTCAAATTAAAATTATTCAATAGATCTAATTTTATAAATTTAAAAGTTTATGTATTTAAAATTATAAGTTTGAGGGGTTGATATTTAAAATGTTTACATAAAAAGTACAAACATAAGGCTTAATGTCTTAATTAGCCCTCTATAAATAATATATTCTTCATCCCTGTATATTTATTTGAAATTTTAAATCTCTCTTTTTTCTTTTAATAAAAGATTTTGATGTTTTGATTTTTTATACTTTTTTCGCATAGGAAACAAGCGGAAAATGCACATTTTTGCTGACAATTTAATATTCTTTACAGATTAAGCAAAAGAAATTAAAATTATTTTTAAAATAATAAATTTTTTATCAATCCATAATCTGAGTAACTCTTTAAAATAAATGGAAGAATCCAATCAAAAAATGATATGTTTGTTTTTTTTTTTTTGGTAATTCTTTTTTTCATGCGCAAAAATTTTAGAGCTTTTTTCTATTAATATTAGATATGAACCTTTAATGAAAATCCAAAATGAAAATGAAGAAACAAATAAAGTCTATTAATAAAAAGAAAATAATAAATAATTACTCTATTTAAAAGCTATTTTTGTTGTGTAAATGGATGGAGAGTATAAAAAAATCAATATTATTAATATTATTAGGTTGAAATATTATAATGTGTATTAAATTTTATAAGAAGAATTGAATTGATTATGTTTAATTTTGATCCTATTATTATTTACTTCAAATTTATAAAAATCAGAATAAAATAAATACTTAGCAATTATAAATTTTTAATGCATTAATCAAAAATATTGAATCGAGATGAAAATTATGATTTCTTTGCATTTGTTTGTCATAATATCTAATGTTGCCCGTGTGTATTTTTTAAAATGCCAGCATTTTTTTGTCTCTTATACATCTATTGCCTTTAAAAATACTGTTTTTATAATCATTCTGGTGTCAATTTTTTTATGTACTTTTTTTTTCTTAAAAAAATGCTAATTTTTTTATTTTGTAATATATTTTTGAAAAAGATTTAACTTAATATGTTCGATTTTTCTATTAGTTACTATTCTTTGTCCATTTAGTTTTAAAACTTAAATTAAATTTAATTTAATCCTTTATATTTAATGGAAAGAGTATTTAAAAATAATTTATAAGGAGATAACAAAACAGAAGTTAGAGTTTATTCTATAAAAAACACAAGGAAAAAGTAAATATATTTTGGCAAAATATAAGAATAAAATTATTTCTTTTAGAAAATTATTATGGACAATTCAATATATTCAAGGAATTTGTGTTCTAAAATAGGAAGAAATTTATAATTATATAAACTTTGCCAAATTTAAAAAAGATTATAAAAGTTGACAAAATAAAAATATTTAATAAATTAAAATATTTAAAGTTCAGTAAAAGTTTTAAGATTTACCCAAAGATGTTTGTTTAGCTAGATCATCCTTTAAGATTTTGGTCTAGGATGAGTGTAGTTTTAGAATAAAATCTAGGTTTATCACCAATTCTTTAAGCATTTAATGTTTATTGTTTGGGAACGTAAGCAGAAAAACAGGGGAGTAAGGAAAAATAAAAGTTTTTGGTTTAGGATTTTACATGAATTGAAAATTAAAGAAAATATTTTGAAGATTCTTGAAAAAAAGCCACGTGCGCCAAATTGGCCTTTGAAGCCAAAATAATTTCTATAAAGATACTGAGGATGAATGAGGAATGCAGTGAACATGACAGGGCAAATTGGCACAAGGAAGAAACAATGACGGGCAGGCAGAGAGAAGAGAGGGCAAATTTGATTGGGTGGGCCCCACCCAAATGACAGACATGCTACACTGATTTTTTTTTTTTTTTTGTTTTTTAATGTACATGGCTACACCTGAATTGGGCGTTTCTACAAAATCACAAAAGCCAGAAAGCCCACAAATACAACTTGTCATGTCAGCCATTTATCGCACAATTATTTCATATCAATATCTTTTTTGCGTTTTAAAATTTATTATTTTTTATTTAAAAAATTTCATTTTCTTTCAAAAAAACTAAATTTCATGAAATATGATTCAATGTATTTAATTTCATATACTTAAATTCATTTTAAAATTTATAAATAAAAAGGTTGAAAATTTAAAAATTTAGAAAAAAGCTTTTGAAACCTGTTTTCATTTCAGAAAATTCAAAGAATTTAAATAATATTAAGTAACCTTTATCATATACTACCAAACAAGCGTCTGAATTAATGGATTGTTTTTAGTATTAAAGTGCTTTTTATTAACTTTTTGATGTTTATGATCAAATCAATAGTTCTTTTTAATTTGTTTTTTAATATTTATTCATAAAACTTAATTTATCACACTATGTTTTAATCACCGGAACACAAAGAATTGTTATTGTTGCCCGCACATAAAAGGGAAAAAAAGGATAATATATATATATATATACTACCTCCGTACCGCAGGAGTTATGAGAAAATAATTTTCTTGAATAGTATTATTTTTTTGTCAAAATCCTCGTAGTATACATTTGTCACTTTAAGAAAAATATTTGTTTAATTTTTTTTAAAATATTGTACACATTTATGGATTTGGAACAAGAAGTAGATTAAATTCATTTTTTTTCCATGTTTATCCTTTGTTATATGACCAATAAATATTATTTACTCACTCCGTCCCAATAAAATATCACTTTCTATTTTCACATAAATTTAAAGGGAAAGTTTTAGTAATTTTATGGTTAAACTACAATTTTTATTCATATAAATTTACTAATCATAACCCATATCTTTAAATAAAATTATGAGCAATTATTATATGGAATTAAAAATTAAGAATTAATAAATGTTATTGAAAGTTAAAGATGAAATTTTAACAAAGGTTATTTAGTTAGTAGACAATTTAAAATATTAACTAATAATGCAGGAAAATGAAAATAAACTATATTTTTGTCAGACGACCCGTCCGTTGGGACACGGGACCGGCACTAGGGCCTAGGTAAGCTTTAAGGGCCCCCGAGGCCCGTCCAATAAAAAAAAAACACAAACAAAAAAACAAAAAAAAAGAAAAACATAAAAAAGTAAGCCTAAACTTATTCAATACTAGTCTACATGATTTCTCCTTAATTTCAACAAAAACAGTATAAGCCCATAATTGACTAATACAGAGATATAAGAAGTTTATATAAAATTTTTTCAACAATCTGGACCCCAATATCAAATAATACATAAAAATTATTAACCAGGGCCTTTCACAATACTTCATTAATCACAAAAGGGCATTACTAGGATATATACCTAACAGTTAATAACACAATTATCTTTAATTTATTAGCGTAATTAGTGAACTAACAATTAAGACCAATATAAATACACAACCCATAAATATACTGCGAGAGAATTCAAATAATTAATCCTTTGATAAAAAAGAGTAACTTTATAAACCAACAAAATAAATAACAAAAATTATAAAAGTTTACATATTTATAACATCTTGCGGAGACAAGATTGCAGGACATGAGCTTATCAGATCGAATCAGAGCATGCTTCTTAAAAAGTACCTAGAGATGGTTTTGGAGAGAGAAGGGGCGTGAGTTTTTGCAACATCAACTAGTTGAAATAAATATATAAACTAATACACACCACATACAGGCAAGCAAAATGCACACCTAAATTAATACTGAAAACTGAAACACACAAACAGTCACTCATAATGTCATCATATCAGCACCCACAACAATATCACCTTCAACATAATCACAATCACTTAAGTGAAATTAGTCAGTGGCGTCACCTAACAATTCCACACGACCGAGCCGTAAACCTGCTTT